TGTACTGGTGCGCATGTACTACAGTGCACTTGTACGCATGTACTGTACATGTACAGTGTACATGTACATATAGGTTTAATTTGAAGGGCAAGGCATCCACCTATTTACTTCTTTATACCCAACATGCCCAAATTTCACATTCATTCATTCTAATTTACATTTCATGTGCATGTACCGGTAGTGTGCATAAATCTAGTAACATGCATTGTACATGTGCAACTGTCCTCGTAGTGGTACCGGGTGCATATTGTACACTGTATGGGTGTACATGCACATATATGTGTATATGACGTATTGTATTGTACAAAATACAAACACAGTTCTTGGTGACTGGACACAGAATGCTGTGCTACAATATCATCATCCGTTCAACATTTTCAAGGCGTAACTTTGCTTTGTTCATTTTGTGTACATGTACCGGTACATGTACAAACATCGCTGTGCTCGTTTTTCTGGTCACAGCAGCAGGATTGTAGGAACCTCCTCAGAACATGGGTGGGAAATGTACATACATGTATGTATGCATGCAACCTGCCCAGCATCATGTTACCAGTCCGAGCAATCCCTCAGTACTTCCAGTAATTTGCTGGGCCTTTCAAAAATTGATCAATTGTCTGGAGGCACAATACATGTACCGGTAGGCCCCACATATTAATCATTATTTTTCTGCCAGGGTAGTCTATTTGAGGCAGTGAAGGCAAGAAACCAAACCATTTGGGCCTTCTCTCGTTTATGAATTTATGCCATAGATACAAAAGGAAGAAGATGAAGTTTGAGAAATTCAGATCTACAGCAGACTGTTTACAATGACAATAGAGCTGCATAATATTCAGATGTGAAATTGGGTAAACAGTGAGTTAAGTGTTACCAAATTGCTTGTTTCAGGGTGTTTGTTGTATTTAAAATACAATGCTCTGGTACAGTACCTTGATCCAACTCCCCATCGTTCTGTGAGTGAGTAAGGAATGAATAGAAATGAATGGAAATGATTGAATCGGAGAACTCTATGATTGAGTCAAGCTTTTGAATCAGTCACTGGAATCATCTGACATCAGAGCCGTTATTTGTTACTTGTAATTCATATTGCAATTTTGCTCCATCACAGTCCAGCATATTTGCAAATGAATATCCTCAAGTGCCAGTAAATTTGCCTGAAAAGCATGCATGTTGTAAGGCATGGTTTGATCCATGTAACTTGGACAGGTTAAACCGCCTCAGAACTTTCAAACGTAATGTACAGTACTTCTGTTTAACTTTGTGGGAAGAAAATTATCAATAGAATCCATCTCATCAAGACTTCATTTGAATAAAACTGATTGTGTAGTCGGAATATGAAATTTACTCATTGACACATTGCAACAGCAGCATTATGCAAAATATTACTTTGCAATGAACCCGTTCACATGTCAGAAATGTGAAATATCCCTGGTTGATTTTTCATGTAATTCCCACTTAAAGCATTCAGCCAGTGGAAATACCAGTAATAGCAAGTACATGTATTGCTTGTGGCCCCGTAGAATCCCAAAGTGCTGCAATGGAGTAATCCAGTTTTCTGGACCGTACCCTGGTACATGTACATGTAATACATGATCTATGCATGTGACAAACCTAATGAGTCTAACTGGATTAGATCTGTCTCAACATTGTACATGTATGTGCACGTACGTACATGTACTGGTTTTGATCACCAAGCCAGGTAGATAAATCCAATCCAATCATCTTTGTAGATCTAACTTTTGTTCCTCGTGTGATATTGCATACTACCGTAGGGGTAAAAAGCGAGGAAATGGTAATGCAATGCCTTTAGTGATGCTAAATCATATAGACGTGGCATAATTGGCAAAATGCAGTGCCGAGATTGCTCCTCGAGCTGGGCCTGTCCAAACAAACGGAACCAAAATGGAATTATTCAAGGGGAGACTACCGGTACAATTCAGCTTCTTTCTTTCTTTGCGAAAATTCGAGTAGTCACCTGGTGTATTTTCAAACTTTCCTGAACCCCCCCTCCTATCTCTTCTCAATCTTTGAAGGGTATTCCTCATTGATCCAGACACTGACATATTACACCCCGGTGTACGCCAGCACGCATTGCTCGTCCGTCTACAGCACCCGGCCAAACCAAGATACCCGATCACGGTCGCTAAATATCAGAGGTTGTCGTCTCGTTCCAGATTTTATGCACAGATACTACCTCCGCCCGCGGGCCGAGGAACAATATCCACCCCAGCATGTTTGTCGACACAGACAGAGACATACACACACACAGGGGCTCTCTCTGTGTCTCTGCAGGGTTGTGTCAGGGCGATGGATTTGTCTCAAGCTCCCAGCCTCAACATGCAGATTGTAGTTTGAAGACTCTTTTTTTTCCATAAGAGACTGTTTAGATACATTGTACGTGAACACGTGTTTGTCCAGCCAGCGGGCTTCTTTGAACTATTGAACTACAACTTCAAATAATCTCTTGTTTGCTGTGATCAAGTTGTAGCAGACATTTGTAGTCTGTAAGTGTTTGTAATTCAACAGAACTTTGCAATGCACCAATTTCATGCAAATGAACTAAGGCGCATCACAGCGCATTTATCTGACAAATTTATGCACACGTACATGGACTTGAATACACATCCAGAAATTTACTTGCTTGTCAAGATTCATTCGTTTGTTTGGAGATAAATATTTGAGACATTTGTGTAAGAGCATTTCATATCATATCCTGATATAAAGTTAGACGTGTCTAAACATTAACAAGGAGGATCAGTTTGGCGTGATACTTATTGCATTTGAAAGGAGGCAGACTTTGCCACACACAGGACATAGACACTTTGAAGTTGCCGGACGGCATGGATGGTTAGTACATGTACATGTACATCAAGGCACGTAATGGGACCAGACAAGTAAATCTGATTACATTTCTCTCGGCGTTATGCACTCTACGGTTGCATAGCCCCGAGAGATATGCTTGCATAATGTGCTAGGGGTTCATGCTCAAAAAAAAAAGGCATGTAGATTACAGAATGGTTCCCTTGGATTTCAGTTTCTGTGAAGCCATGAGCTACGGTATGGCATATCTGAGAAGTAAACTCATCAGGCTGTCCAGAGATTCTTAAAATAATGAATTGCCTGACAGTTTCCCGTACGTACATGTACATGTACATGTACATGCAGGTCCTTGTACTGTATATTTATGTAGTATTGTGCATGGGTCGACATGTCACCTCCATCGCTGATTGTTCTGCATTTTAATCATCGATCTTTGGACACTCAAGTCAGTTAGGAGGACTTGAGTTTAATTCTCCTTTTTCTAAGCTCACTCATCATGACATTTTCGTTTCCATACTTGGAAGGCTGACATCAAGTTACATGTAATTTTGTTTGCTCTCCAACAACTTGCAATCTACTCTGTATTTTTGGCAGTCCAGACCAGAATCGGTTTCCTGAATTCTCACCTTCTTGGAATTTCCAAAGAAATGATACAAAACAGCCAAACTGTACCCGTCTGAGCCATGTCCTGTGCACATGGCTCATTTACTTGTACATTTGACATTCCCAAATTCTCAAAGTGTAAGACCAGAAGAAATTCAGATGGTTGCCTTTAGTGTTGTGTCTGTCATTAAAAAAAGTTCCCAATTATAAACAATGGCTATAATTCCTCTATGGTCTTTGCAGTTGAAGTCTGTTGCAAATGTTACATGTACATGTAGGATGAAAAGATCAATTCAATATGATCACAAAGTGTTTTAAGCTTCTGTATATGTACGGTACATGAACGTTACACCTACTGTACATGTACTGTATATGTACACTGTACATTGGTACGAGTACCGGGTAATTTGAATTCATGAGTTATGCTTGTTTGGAGTGCATGTACATGTAGCAATACATGTGCACACATCGTTCATGTATTTTTTTTAAATATTTTTTTTTATGTCAATTTTAACCTCTTATTGTGTATATTGTAAACCAAATATTTTTAGTCTTTTGACTTTCTATTTGGTATTAAGAAATAAACCGTAAATGAATGAATGAATGAATGAATGAATGAATGAATGAATGAATGAATGAATGAATGAATGTACAGGTGTGTTTACTCAGTAGAGTATGCAAGTAGAGTTATTTTTAGAACACATGTACAAGTTTTTATTGTCTATGCACCCTGCTTGCCCGTGTGTAGAGAAAAGCTGCTGATTTCCTGCACATTGCAGACAAATACAGTACAGCATTGTTTGCAGTATTTGCCTGTATGGCAGTGCATTTGAATGACCAAGACATTTAAGATGTGTAATTTGTAATCAAAATGGACAGCTGAGCTATTTTTGTGTGTATGTGTATGTGGTCAACTGTGGCTTATGGGCGTCTGCCTTTGAAAGGTAAAAATTATAAGCCACAGTCGTACCGTGTATTTCTTGAACTGGGACAATGTTTGCGACAGCGTGGTCTTTTGAAGCGTGTGATACTGCATGTACTTTGCACAATGAACATACATGTCAGCGCGATGGCCAGAAGGGGATTTTTTTGTGGGCGGGGAAATGCAGAATCTTTTTATTCCATTTGGGGTCACAATGAATGGGATAAACATTAAATTTACAATGTTTTTGAAATGGTTACTTATTTTTTGTTATTTTAAAATACTTCACGTGAACTGAATGCTCTGTTACCCTGTAACGTGCAGTGTAAGCATTTCATCACTCTGCACTGTGCTAATGTGCACGTTGGTGTGACTATTTCAAAGTTATTGTAATTTTGAAATATTAACCACTGTATCTTGTGTTTATTGCATTTACCATAGAGCGTTTTGGGGGTAATGATGATGGAACCACCTGTTGGTCGTCTGCCACCTCTACGTGTCCTCCATGAGCAGTCTGCTCTGGATTTAGACACCCCACCGCCCTCCCCAGGCACCTCTTCCAGCGAGACCCTGGCCGTGCCCATCCTCTCCCGCAGTCCCTCTCCTATCTCTACCTCGTCCTCGGGCACCCAGTACAGCGGGGAGGAGATCGAGCACAGCATCCACAACCTGGCCCAGTGCTACCAGATCTTGCAACCGGGCCGACACTCCTGCCTCTGCACCCACGGCCGGGTTTCCTCTGCTTTCTCCCACAACAAGTACAGCGTGACCTTGGCTGAGGGTTACTCCACCCTCCAGAGGCTCATGATCAGCCGGTCCCACCTGCACTTTGCCCGGGACTGCGCCTCACGGGTGGCGCAGCTGGCTGAGTTTGTGCAGAGCCTGCAGGTCATTGCGCACGAAGAGCATAACACCCTGCAGGCTCTGCAGACGGGCGGAGATGTGGAGCCTTACACCAAGCTGGAGTACTTAGCGGCATTCTGTGAGGACCTCCGGATCCACATGAACCACTGGGCGTCCATCCAGCACCGGCTGTACAGCGACAAGTACCTGCAGGCAGTGTTGCCTGAGCTGTGCCGGGACCTATTGGACCTTCATCAGTCATTGGTGTACTTGCGGGACTGTGCTCTGTGGTGGCTACAGCAGATCATCACCATCGGCTTACGGATTTTCGCTCATTGCAACCCCAATACCGCCACACAGGACATGCTGTGGAGCATTGTCAGAGGCACGGAGAACTATAATGGGATGTTGTCAGTAATTAGAGGTCATCACAGGAATCTTGGATCAGTGCCAACCGGTCGTCAAGACAGTTATCAGTGCTTCAGGTCAAAACTAGCTGCTGTAGCCTCCTCGAGGTTCGCCTGTAACATTCAACCTTTTCCTGTCAGTAGAATACTTAGCATACTTTCAAAAGAACGCTGTAAATTAGCTAGCCTACAAATACTCTTTTTCCTCATGCGAAACCAAAGCTTTGTTCATTTAGCACTGCAGCCACCTGCCTTGTTTGATTGGCGCACGTATCCTTGCATGGCCAGTGCTAAGACCTCTCGGTCTTCGTCCGACCACTTGCCAGAACCAACCCATCCCGCCACTGCCAATGCTTCACTTGTCACACTGCGAGACCTCAAAGCTCAGGGACTTCTTCAAGAGACATCTCCTCAATGTGCAATCGAGACCCAGGAGGAAGGGTTCATCTCCAAACTCCTGACGGCTGTCTCTGCCTCCACAGGTCTGCTGCAGAAGCATCGGCCCTCCGTGGCAGTGGACGAGGGCGGCAGCCAGACAGCTGTCCAGAAACTGGCCAAGCTGAAGTCGCCGCGGCAGAACGGCAGCAAGCACACCCGCAAGTCGGTGCGCTGGGGGGACTCCTTCAACGCTCGCATCCAGCACGAATATTTCAACCTGTATATGGACATGATGTGGAGCTGTTGCGGGGAGGAGTTGTGGGACCTTCTGCACCGGCCCGGTCTAGGGCTTGCAGATATTGCCTTGGAGGGCATCCTGAGCCTTGGTCATGTATATCAATGCAGTGATGCCTTGATAGTAGCACTCGCTCATTTGATTGAACAAGCATGCGGCAAAGGTAAATGTACCGTAGGTAGTGGGTCACGCAGAGGCATTGGATAAAGTTTCTAAACATGTTCATACACGCTGCTTGTTGGGCATTGTTTTCAAACTTGAAAATGCTAGATCAAAGCTGTGTCTATGTACCTGTACACCTGTATCTCAATTAATTCATGTGCTGGTAACATCATTTCAAAAAATGCTGATCAGTACAATAAGAAACCTTACATTCCAAACTGTCCCGTGTTTGCAAACTCTCACAGCATATGTACACACACATGGACCGGTAAATCACAAAATGACAGAAATTTATCTTTCTGGTTACTTGTTTTAGCATAATGTCATGTGCATAGCACTGCTAAATTCAGCCTTTAAATTGACAATAATGAGTTTGTTTTTGCATTTTTATGCTGTACTATTGAACCCATTTCGTTTTGCCCACTTGGGTAAGTATTCTCCCCTTTCGTCCACAATGCGGAGAACAAAAACAAAAGAACTAGTTTGATAAAAAGTCGATAACAGCCCGTTACTACTGCAGCATGGCGCATTGAGGGGAGTGCATTCACGGTGTGATCAGATAATTAATTGATGGCTTTGGCTTAGAGAAGCTGAGCCACACTGTTACCGGTATGTGCATGGCCGTAAGACATGTAAGAGACAGTCTGCGCTGAGCGGAATCACAGATCTGTGGAGCAGTGCCGCACTGTTGTCAAAGGGGCTTTTCAGTTCAGTCTCATCTAAATGTAGCTTGATGGAGATTTGATGCCCTGTGTCTGACAATTGAATCGTAGTTCTTGTCATTCTTCGTTCCCCAGGGAAAGCTCTTTATTTTTGTGTTGGAGGGGGAGGGAGAGAAAAAGATGGATAGAATGGAGAGACTTGAATACAGAAAGACGCAATGGTACAATGTGTACATGTACCCATGTACGCTAGCTGTCTGGCCTGTTTAATTGAATACAGTGATGCTGCTCACTGTCAAAGGGAAATTGGGTAGGGTGAAATTGCAACACTGGCAAAGCACCTGCATGAACAGTACATGTATATGTACATGTACGTAGGTTACATGTACATGTAGATTACACTTAAACACATACGGGTAGACAGTTCACAAATTATGCATCCATAGTGACGCCACTTTGGTTTGAGAAACACTTGAGGGGCTGGTCAAGTCCTTGCTTCATACATGTACAGTTGTACATGCACACATGTTGTACAGAAATGTAACCATTCAAACTGCGCAATGTCACTGTCCCTTTGTGATCACATCGAAATGTACACGTACACGTAGAACCTTTTCACGGCACTTGTACTTTCATCTTCCACTGCTTTGATCGATCATTGAGTGTTTTCTTTCAGACTGAAAGTGAGTTGAATGTTGGGCCATTTGCTGTAGATACATGTACTAGTACACATAGCAATAAATGTACATGTAACCATATATGTACTTGCTAAAGGTGCGCACATGTAGACTTGTCATGCTTGTGGTTTCAATCACACTGAAGAAATACAGGTCAAATTATCATGAGGCTCCAGCTCCCATCTGTTTATATTTGGAACTGACTTTGATGCCATGCAGGGCTACAGTGTGTAAGGTTTTGACAGTGGTTTTTGAAATGGTTGTATGAATAATGTGAGTACTTGTAGCATTTCCCGGTGACAGTGCTTACACACATGCACATGTAGACCTGTACACATTTCATACAAGATTCCAAGTACATGTACATCTAGAGATCACTTAACATTCTCAGGAGAATTCTGTCACGAGAGAAGTTACGGCAGGTGAATCTTTAACAGCATGCTCCTCTTCTCTCTCGTTCCTTCCACCTTCAACAAATGCAAATAGATCTCCTTTACAAATATCACGGCAGCTGACACCGTGAACCAATATTGAGTCAATGTTTATATTGCTGAGGATAGGCAGCAGGCCCCATTGGTTCATACAAGGTCTGACGGAATTTATAGCCAGGCAACGTGAGATGTGAGAGGCAGACATCTACACAGAGACTGAGAGAAAAAAATACGTCATGCATCAAAACAACAAAAAGAAATCCATTATGGAGACTTGGAATTTTGCTGTGTAAATCTGACATTGTTTTGTTTTTAAATCCATTTTGGGCTGTGCTTGAGTTTTGGATCAATTTCATTGGAGGTTGAAACAAGAGGGATGTGGAAAAATGAGAGTAGGACATCTACATGTACATGTACAATGTACATGTAGATGTAGTCATATGAGCTTTATATCAGGTTGAGGGAGGTAATATGTGACAGGTGATTCCCTCTTTGCTTATGGGAACACGTTGCTCACAGACAGACCTCAAGAGAGAGTCTCTCTAGTGTAGGAGTATTGTTCTTTTATCAATTCTTCTCTGGATTGTAATTTTTTTCCCAAAGAATTTGATTTTTGCAAGTTGTTGAAGGGAAACTTGAGCCTTGAATGTTTACTTTTCTGTATTGTGCACGTCTGTCTTGTTGTCTTCCCCTTCAGGTGTCTTTACAGCAGGTGCCAGTCAAGGTTTGCAGAACATCTCACGTCAGTTGATCGGTGACGTAGCATTGACTCAGTGTCGCTCAGGTGAGTCACAAGCTGTGCAGCCCAAACCATCTGGATGGCTTGCTTCCAATTTCCCTTTTGCCTGAGCAGGCTCATGTTCCTCCATCATTCCATTAGCCTTGGAATTACCGGTATTTCCAGGAAGGTAGTTGATGAGAAAAATTCAGACCGAGGAAAAGCAAAAAATGTTATGATGATGCCTCCCTGTTTTTTAAAGATGTTTTTCCCAATTGCCCTACATCACATCAGCATCATTTTTGTCAGGCATTCCACAACCATGTCAGGTGCATTGTAATTTGTTTGATCAAATTCAAATTCACATGTGTATGTACGTGTACCGTAGTCTAACAGATTTTTAGAAAAGAAATTCACTGTACGCACACAGACACATTGACTTGAATAGTTCAAAAATGTCCATCAACATGTATGTACATGTACTACTTGTATGTTCTCTCTTTACAAAAAGAATTTATATCGGAAGAAAATGGTTGGAGATCTCATAAATTCATAAAAACCATTTTTTTATTTTTCCTTTTCCTTTATAGATCTTTTTTGGTGCTAATGAAGGTCATGTACATGTAATGACATTCAGGCCAAGCAATCTGACTGTGGGTAAACATTTACATGTACCCTAGCGCAAGGGAGCTTTGAAGTAAAAAAAACCACAGACTCGAACAAGAATTCCTAAAACACTCTTTGTCACTTAGAACTCAGACCACTTGTCACTTAGTTTTACCATCCACTGACTGGGTAAGAACTCTCAGTTTGTCCCAAGACAAGACCCAAAGTCCCAATGCCCTGATCCAACACAAGAAAAAGTCCCTTTATTGAAGAGGACACCGCTGTGTTACTTAGCGGCGTGGAGCAGGTGAAACCCATTTCATCAATTAGATGCACCACTGCATTTATTCATCGTGTATCGAATGCTTGGACCGGTGTTATTACATCGCATTGATTTCTTTTAAGACACAGCTCGCTCTCTCTGAGATCCTCTCTGGAGATTTCAAATTTAGTGCCGGGATGAATAAGTGCATAGAGGCTTATCGTCTAGGCCTTTCTTGTCTGCTTTCTTTTTGACAAGGGATAAATTGAGATAGAGTTGAGGGGTTCATTTCCAAAATGGCATGATCAGTCAGTCTAAATGGGTTTTTTTTTGTAATGACATGTACATGTATCTGCAGTCTAGACAGCAAGTGGCTAATAAACCAAGCAGAATTTTTAAGATGGAGTAGTTGGCAGCTCTCTATAGGCCCGGAACTGGACCAAGAGAGGACGCACTTTCCCTAGCAGTGGGGGCTCCTTTTGTACTTACATGTACGTGTAACTGCGTATTGTTGGTTCATGATTGACTACATGTATGAATCGATGTGGGGGTGCTATTGCTCAGGGCAAATTGGAACCAAAAGTCTCCTTGCCGCCTCCACTGCTTCTGTGATTTGATATACCAGTATTTAAAGGGGATGGGCCGTGCTGGGAAGAGTTCTCACATAAAACAAACATATACATAACAAGAAAACACATCTGCATAATTTCAAAATGCGCAGAAATAATGTTAAAAAATATAGTTTTCCCCAACCCGATTTCACTCCCTTCTGGGAGCAAAACCTAAACAACAGCCGTCGGGTACAGAAAGTTGTCTGAAGAAATTCCCAAGAATTGTGACATCATAGGACAGAGTCCTTTATCCGGCCACTGTTTACTGTTATGCAACGACGCGTTGACATGTACGTACAGATGTACATGTACGTGTAGTAGCATTAGCATGTGCAATCATGTCAGACTCAAGCGACGATAATTCCAGCGTTGATGCTTTTTTCCGATCATGACAGCGATCACTTGTCATGTTCGTCGTATTCATTTGATGAAGAGAGCAACATTGAAGGAGTTGATGAGGCACAAGAAATATTGCCTTGTCAATTCAAACCAGAATACACTCAGGAAGAGATTTTGCAAGTCGAGGCTGTTGGCCACGGGCATGGCAGCGACCCGGAGGATCGACAACCAAACACTGACTGGTCATGATTTTTATTTTTTCCTGTACCATTATAAAAATTTGTCTTTCTGAAAAGACGTTTATTTTCCTACTATTGGCTAAAAAGTAAAAGTAATTTTTTGTCCATGGTTATAGGCTAGCCTGCTTTGTCACAGTTGGTGTTCCATTGCGACAATTTTTTTCACCCTGCACTGCGAGTCACTTCCTTGGCATCGACGCACACGCATGACGACCGTGCGGCATCATTTGCACGGGAAAACAGTCCACCTGCGCCAGTGCAATATAATCCCATTTTACATCATTTACGCGTGGTACATGTGTGGGGGTGTATGTACATGTATGTGTCAGTACTAATACGTGTACATACATGTAAACATGCACATGTACATGTATTTGGGAATTTTGAGTCCTCGTTAAAATCTGATTGTGTGTTATCCACAAATCTAACCTACACGGTACAAACGCTGGTGTGAAAAGTCGCTTGGTAATCTACAAAAACCCTCTCTCCGGGGAATTGTTTTGATTGCGACAACAGCCACTGACAACACAGTTTATTGGCATTCTCTCGAAATGCACAATTCACTATAGAAATTATTACATGTGTACGATGCGATGCAAAACAAAATGAGCGCAACGTGTCCAGTTTGTTGTCCAATAGTTCTGTCCCGTGTTAAGAGAAGGGCATAGGGAAACAAGACCAAATGTGGTTGACTTAACATGTACAACTTACGTACCCGACTACACACCAGAGCAGAGCATATTATTCTTTTGCGGACCGATCAACTGTCTTGCTGGAACTATACATTCTTGTTTGGAAAGTCTGATGATTTTAAGACATAAAAGAGGGGTTAATCCAACTTATTGTATATAAGACGGTTGAAAACTATCATATAACGTCAATTTAACCCTACATGGCCCATCCCCTTTAACAAAAAATGAGATCAGATTTCAAGCTTTTTCATGGTGATAGTGGCAAGTTACATGTAAGTCAAAGGGTTTGTAGTAGCACAATTTCAAATATCTCTTGTGTATTATGTGGTTCTGAAAAGATCCCTCCATTAATTTCCAATTTGTCACAGGCTTTGCCCGTGGAAAATTATAAATAACCAAGTGTGTTGTGTGTACACGGATAATCTTTCTCTAGCTTGTACAAGGGAATGGTTCTTTTGAGGGGATTTCGCTATTGAATTAAGGAACGTGACTTATACGTGTACATGTATATACTGCAGTCCTTTTTATCAGAGCTCATCTGTCATAAAAATAGGCCGTATAGGCCTGACGAACTGGAATTATTATTACCAAAGAGTGGGTTTTTGATAGCAACATTGCATCAAGATGGCAGTGGCTTTAAAACATTTTAATCCATCCTCTGTGGATGTTATCAGGTACATGTACATATGCCATCAGCATAACTTACATCTATTTGCCTTTCAAGTCATGTGAATTATTTTTTCTTGCCGATTCTCATTGTGCTGCAGTGAGAAGGCACTCAATGCAGAGGTTGAATGTACACCAGTGCACGGTATGCCACACTGAAAATTAGATGCCTGCTTTACCAACTGGACAAATTAATAAAATTATGTCAGGTGTGATGTGAAAACGTGCAGGAACATTGGCGAACAAACTGGTACCGTACATGTACAAGGTACTCAGACAAACTGAGAGCCATGCGTATCATTGGAAAAAATAGGTACCGTTAGTTCCAAAATGTTTGTCTCGAAAGGTGACTGTAGATGCACAGAGGAAGTTGGCTTAAGACTGCATTTGTAATATTTTATGAAATTCAAACATGTGAACTGATTTGGCAAAATCTTTATGTGCCAGCAAAACTGCATTGTTAATATTTTATGAAATTCAAACATGTGAACTGATTTGGCAAAATCTTTATGTGCCAGCAAAACTACATTGTTAATATTCTATGAAATTCAAACATGTGAACTGATTTGGAAAAATCTTTATGTACCAGCAAAACTGCATTGTTGATATTTTATGAAATTTCAAACGTGAACTGATTTGGCGAAATCTTTATGTGCCAGGTAGAGTTCTGGTTCTTCTTTCATAACTGGCAGATAATTCATTGTTCTTGAAAATCCTTGAGTTGTCCTTCTGTTCCTCAACAGTACGGTACCAGTATGTACGTACATCTACTTTTCATTTTAGCTTCAAGGAAAAAACAAATTAAGCCTTTCTGCGGATGGCATTGCTCAGTAATAATAATGCCCTGGGGGGCCAACCTTCTTTTCCCTCATTAGGCTTGGAATATTTGTGGTTTTTATCTCACAACTAATTTCCACTTATACTTCAGTTCTAAATATAGAGATTTGGTAGTCCTCTGTGTCTTCTCTTCTAGGGCCGTTTTCCTCATGGTGTTATATCTGATTTTTAATAATTCGGGGAGGTAACGGGACATGAACATGTACATGAACATGTACATGCGAAACCTTGTGTTTCTGATCCTGTGCCATGCTGTCAAGTCATGTAAACACACGCCTTTGTTAATGTAGTGGGGAAGAGTACCAGTATGTTTAAATTACTTGGGCTTAGCAATGCTACCCTCTTGACACCATCGCTGTCGTTGGTCTGTGTTTTACTGTTCCTTTGTCACTTGTGGCGTCTGACTGTATTAATTCATTGCATGTTTTGCACCTGTTTATCTTTTCATCAGCCATGCCATGCATGGAAGGATGACCACATTGACCAATTCTGTTCATCCCATTAATACATGAATGTGTACTGTATACCGGCACACGTATACATGTATGTACATGAATTTTGATAAGACACGCTGTGTTGCTGTAACTATTAATCCTAACCGTCCTCAATCCTTCACCTGTTGGAGGACTGAGGAGTGTTAGGGTTAATCACATGCTTGCACTGGTTTTGCTACGCAACACATAACTCAAGAATGAAAAAAACGACTTCCATCAGGAACAATAAATGTCCAAGGAGATGAACAAAAACTTCAAGAGGGACCAATCTTTGTTGATTTAAGAATACCGTCCCTCTCTTGTAGACCTCACTTCCAAGAGCCGAGAAGGAATAGACTCCCTCTGTCCAATCCCTGTACCTCATTTTCTTTGTGAAATTCTTGAGTTCATTTGAACGTACTGATAAAAACACTTCAAGCAAGAAAAATGGAACAACTCTACATTTTTCTACTTGATAATTAAAAGAGGGATTTGGAACATGTTGGAATGTGAAATCAAGTGAAGGCAATCAAAAAATAAAAGGTACTTAGCTGAGTGGTTTGGTGGTGTGTGCTGGTACTGGGGTGTTTGTGGAGATAAAATACATGTAAGTATTTGCACAACGACAATGTACATCTTTACACTATGGTCAGTGTAAAGTACAATTTTACGGCACTTCACTTGGAAGAACACGGAGCAACAGAACCTTATAGAAATGGTCACTGCTGGTCGGTAAGGTGCTTCATGACAAAAGATGTGTTGCCTCTACATGTAGATACCAACTACATGTACACTGTACATGGAGTTCTTACTTTATGGATGTGTGCGTTTAAGTGTGCAGTAACAAAACCGGAACAAACCTTATTAACATTTCCCTGTTTCCCATATTTTTTCTTGAGTGAACACGGATTCAAAGATTCCTGCCTCATAATGGCAAACGGTTGCTTGATCAGACCCTGGTGTTAACTTTTTGTTTGCTCCTAAATTGAATTCCAGGTAACTGATGGGCATGATTGGTTGATCTACGCTGTCTCTTGATCTCTGCATGATCACTTGACCTTGTCAGTAACTTCACCTTCAGATGATCTTATTTTTTCTCTTATCCATGGTTGTGGAAGATTGTTTCAAAAAAATGGAAGCAAAGTCAGAGATTTCATACAAGATTGACTGATCACGCAATGCAATCGCATGATCAAGTGTGCCAGATTGCACCTAAAATATATTTATTTTGCTTTGTCCTGATGTTGACGGGGTACACATATACTGTAGGCCATTTTACTGCTCCAGTGTAGTGTTCCATTGGTTGTGGGTTAGCGGTATAGTCACCTCTAGTCCATTGTCTCTTTACTCTCTAACCCTAACCTACCTATCAGATGCTTCAAAATTCACCAGGAGGTTTTGAAGGATTATGCAGGATTGAGGAAGGTAGAACCTAGTTGACATGAGATGTTATGCCACCTGGAAGTTTCATAGAAAGAACTTGCCGCCGGACTTCTAGATTCATAAAGTTTCCCAGTGACATTTCTTAGAGAGATTTGGAAATGGAGTACACTGTACAGGTACATTCTCTCTGTTTGTCAATGTTCTAGATCTCTTCACTTCCTTTCTTGCCCCGCCTCCTCTCAGGTATATGTCAAGCTCTTGCCTCCAGCTCCTCAGACAAATGCTTCCCTGTAAGTGGTCCCTCCTCCATCGACCAAGGCAGCAAGACATGTCAGCTGTTCCAGGCATCGCTGTTACCCCTGCTGAGTCTGCTATCAGCTGCCGAGCAGCAGCATTCGGCTGCCAAGGTCCTGCCGAGGGGCACATGTGAGTTCAATATAATCTGTATCTTGCTCAGAAATGTCATTTTGACAGGTTTTGTTTCTTTGGAAGAACAGACTTGATAGGAGGCGGCATAAGGGTGTGAATTTGTCTTGCCCAATTACTGTAATGACCCAAATGCTGTGGGAGGGTAGACCTGCTGCATATGCAAAACCAACCAAGCATTTTCTATCCCTAGAGTTTTCTCAACAGGAACAGCAACAGGAGCATGCCCTTCTGTAAACTATCAAGAAGTTAGCCCTTATTCTGAAGTTGGACCATCAAACTTTGGAGGTGTCAAATAATAGTGAAGTTAATGTGAAGGTTCACAGACTTAGGAAGCCGTAGAGCACTGAATCGACAGATTCCTGAAGACATTTGCGTATTGGTTTTTAAAAAGTTTTGTGTACTTTTTCCTTGCTGTCACCAGCTCGTAATGGGGTTAGCCCCTCTATACAGGTGCCTAGCACCCAGACTCTCCACCAGACTCTCTCCTTGTGTATCATGATCTTGGAAACCTCCAGACACTGGTGCCTGGCCAAGGGCAGTCAGTTCCTGGCATCATGGTCCGTGGACAAATTCTTGTTGGTCTCGCAGAGCGACCTCAAGGTGGGTGTTGAGTCAAAGCTTTGCCTCCACGCTGAGCACTTGATCAAACTCTACATGTAAACAGAGGATGTGGAACTCTCAGTGTTTCCGTTTGAGTTGCAGTCGCCATTTTTAACTCACATGAGCTATTGTATCATACCAATCAAGTCTGAATCTTGTGCCCTTTGAGATCTCACCACATTAATTAACCCTCCTATGCTGAAGTCACTCTTTGGCCGAGTTGGCAACCTGCACAAAAATGACCAGCTGTGTCATGTTGTGTACTGCACCAACTGTCCCTCACAGGAAGTTTACATGGTTTGATGAGAACATACATGGGTCACAAGTGGTGCCAGTCCGTCGTGAGGCCAAGTTTTGTCTCCTCAACGAGCTCACCAACTCTTGTGTTACAGAAAACCGTTGACTCCTCTGTGCACATACTGCAAGCCTGTCAGTGGCTGTGTGGTGCAGCTTCCAAGGACATTCATCAGAGCACAACTCATTCCAAGGACAAGGAGATGGAGAGGTTGGAAGAGCTGAAAGTCAAGCTAGACACCATCAATGCCAGGCTGCATGTGAGTTCTTTGTTGTTTTGTTTTCTACACCTGTACAAAGCATAGACGGACACAGAAGGAGGGGGAAAAAAATTCTGTGCTCAAAAAGGTGGAACCAGACCAAACCGATGACTCTCTCTCTCTCTGTGTTTATAAGTACAGTAGGCAATATCAAACAAACGCTTGAGTTCACAACCCACCGAACATGTCTAGAATAACAGTTTGGCAGTTTGAGAGGCTGCCAACTTGTAGATAATACGGTAGATGGAAGGTCAGGTCAGAGGTTCAATTGCCGCTGCAGACAGTTTTCATCTCTGTTCATTTCCTACCCCCTCCCTTCCCAGATAACATCAAGTGAACTGCTTCAGGTGTTTGGCCAACACTGCAGTCAAATGTGCGCCGACGTCTGGCAGCAGGGCATGCCCATGGGCAAAGTCTGGAGAAAGAAGACCACAGATGGTGAGTGGCATCATGAATATAGTCGGGCTCTTTCCCCGCAAGAATGTGCACAGTTAGGAGTACAAGGAACTGCTTTTGAGTGTTACGCCCTGCAAATGTGAAGTTGTAGATGAGTACACTTGGCTGAGTTTGAGTACGAGTGCCAAAAAAAATTGTTGAGTACAATACCTTTGTGACCAAATGCCATGAAGTGAGTCGTGACTGTTTGTTATCAGTCACTTATAAATCTGTTTTAAAAATGCCTTTTTCATAGATCTACCCTCTGAGCATAACCCCTATGTCCCGGCTGCTGTCAACACAATATTGGTCCCACTGGTAGAGGGAGTAAGTAATCTGAGAGTATCGGCCCAGATTGCCATCATATCAGTTGCCGTGACAAACATGCTGGAGATGTGGATGGCGCATATACTACGTGAGAAGCCAAAATTTAGGTAAAGTCCCCTGCCAGTAATTCAGATGGTCTTCAAGTATAACCAGTATTTGTCAGCAAAAAGGTGCTTTGCAGAAAATACTGATTGGCTTAGCATAGGGATAATTTCACTGGTCTTTGCGCATCAATTGCCTAATTGTTCTTTGCCATACCTACATGGCTTTGTGACTGGCTTTATAAAGTTGGGCTACTTGTGCATACATTCTCGGTAATTTTTCTGGTGGGTGGGGTAATGTAAAATTTCATTTGCATACTCTTTTGGTGGTTTGTATTTTGAGCTTTCATAAACGTTTCTTAGATGTTGCTTTTATATGAAGACAAATATGTAGACCATTCTTTCTTGACATACGTAATTCTACGATTATCTACATCTTGTTTGATTATGATAGCATTCATGGAGCTCATCAACTGGGCCAAGATGTTGCCTATGTCCGCACGTGGCTAATGTCCGATGCCAACGGCCTGGAACTACAGACCAGACAGAGCGTGCTCACGCTGGAGGCCTTCAAACACTTTGATGGCGCTGTTTTACTCCTGAAACACCAGCCACGCCGTAAAGGAATCAACTCACCCACCAGGGATGACACCAGTGAGTTCTCATCCAGCCAATGATCCAGAGTAGATGCTTTTTCACTTTCATTGTGTGAATTTGTGAGGTCATGACAAGTATCCACGCGGCAGATTTGCAAAAGTTGAACTTCAAATCAATTCCAGCAAATTTCATTGTCTGATTTTCATGACATCTTGTCATTAAGTCTCTGTAACATGAAGGATGTCTGACATTGTGGCCAGAGCACCTCTGTGAAATGGTTTTTATTGGGTCTTAAAATGCCATGGCTCTGTCTTTGTTTTACAGGTTCAGAATACAGCAGCAGCACCGTACCCAGTGCCGAGTCACGCCCAGGAAGTATGAGCAGCCTGTCAGATGCCTTACCCCCGGGGAGCACCAGCAACCAGACCACAGTGAGGGAGCCACCTCTGGCCCTGGGCAATGGCAGCGACATGGGGGAGAGCGGCTTCGAGGAGGAGACGTTCCGCGTGCCGCGCCGCAAGGAGTGGCTTAGCCTCCGTGTCCATGGCAACCAGAAGTGGCGGCTGTTACCCTTCGGTTGTCTCAACGTGGGCGTTGTGGACTCCTGACGGTGCAATGTATGTTGCTGGCAGTAGATATGGCCTTGTCACCTGACTACAAACTCAAGAGTCCCAGTGTGAAAGTCATGGTCTGGTTCCCCATAGCAGAAATCTAGGAGCTATTCAATGATTTAGTTATCCGCTCCTTGCACTTGACTTTACAGCTCATGCATATGAAAGCGACTACATTATTTGCTCGTTGTTACTTGGGGAACAGAGTTTGCAGTGTATTCCTCACCATGTGTAGAAGAACCAGTACATGCATGAAGGCGGTCCCTCACACTGTCTCGTGTGAGTTGGCCAGTAATCTCTCCTGCATGGTTTCCTTAATTTACAATATAAATTCAGCTCCAAGTTGGTTCTTTCTCACTGTCAGTAACATACTCCTTGATTTGTCACCAGACTATACAGATATGATTCCTGGTGTCAACATTAGGGTCTGGTACCTGATGGCATGTTCTCCGCTCTCAGTACCCTGCACCCTGACTTTAAGCCTTCATTTTGATGTGCCAATATCTGCTATTCAGTTTTGACTTTACAAGGTAGAAAATTTGAGTTGTCTTTACAAGCAATCCTGTTGTAGGGCCAAATGAGAGCAATAGGCCCACTTACGTGTCCTTTAACACAGATTTCAATTCAGTGTTCACTACAAACCATGGGCACTATCCGGTTCGTAAATGAGACGTCACTTCAGTTTAAGCCACTCTCACTGTACATAGATTACATGCATTAATCGCCGTTTACATGGAACTGGAAATTGATGCACAAATTTAGCGATCATCCAATAGGAGGCTGCAAATCGTGGTGCATTCAAGGATATGACGAAGTCACTTACGAATCGGATAGCCTCTTCCCAGGCAAAGCAAAATTGCCTTAAAGGTGATACTGGTTGCTGAACAAAAATATCCAAGCTTGAGCGCGCACAAATTGAAAATCTCAAAGTGATTTATTTTGCTTGAAATAAAAGTCCGCCCAGAATAAGTAGATATTTTAATGAAGTGACTATTTTTAAAGTTCAAAGCAGTGAGACTTGTTCATCTGCTTTATATTTTGGCAAAATACCTACAAATACTTTACCAAGTCAAATAATTATAGCATGCTTAATTGTTTTGCATGATATTCAGCTAAGAAATGCATTCTCAGAAGTACTATTGTTTCAGCATTTAACTCCCACAGTAATTAAAAACAAAACTACAATCTGAAAGAAAATTGTAGATAAAAAAGTTTTTTTTACCCTTCCCTTTGTGGACTGTGTGTGTTTTTACATTTAAATTTACAACTTACCATTATAATTTAATTACAATATAGGCTGTGTAACTGGAACCCCACTAAGTTAGTGGCCTGAACCCAGTCCTTTTTATGAACAACTGTGTGTATTGTATTCATTTTAAAAAGTAAATGTGATGAAATTAGAATCCCAAAAGGTCATTAGTGTGACCTGAGTTTTGAAACCCGAGTATCTGAAATATATGTCAATGCTTTTTGAAACTGATCGCTGAAGTGTATGGAGTGGGTTAATAGTTTAATGTGCAGATATTTCTGTGAATATTTTAGTCTGTAAAAGTAGCTGATCACAAATGCGGGTAAAATGCAAGTTTTTTTGGTTAGGGGGGGCTCACAGATAATCATGATTTGATTTAGTTGATACCAGTATTTACATGTACATGTCAAATGAATGTCTGTGTTCCAGTCCAGTCAAGATTAGAGTTCATGTAAAACAAATAAAAGGAAATGATCCTAAGACTGCTTTTTGTGAGTATTTATCATCCTGAGTTCTCATCTAGACTAGACAACACTGGTGTACTCATCAATGTGCAATATGCATCAAGTTTAAAGTGACCATTTTGGCTATCTGTGGCACTTTCACAAGATTGGGGCAGTGCAAAATTAATGTAATTATGAGATTTTTGCAAGTAAGGAAGCAAGGATGTATAATCGGGAGGAGCATAGAAAGACTTCATGGGAAGATTCCAATCTCTGATGTAAAATGAATCACTTCAAAGTTTGTCTTAAGACTAATCCAGTATTACTGAAACATTTTTACATGGTAGTACTTAATTTAGAACAAAAATGTTTGTATTTTAAGCAAATTTGTTAGCACAATTCATCTTGAGAATAGTGTTAATCCAGTGGCTGATGCAATGGGATTGTTGCATCTGTCTGCGTTTATGTGTAGTTAACTACTTTCCAAGAACTTGATTTTTGCTAAATATTGAGTTCTTTGTCACAAAGAAAGTGAAAGAAACATCAAGTGAAACAACCATTCTAATGCTGTATGTCTCTAATTGTACTTTATTTTAAGAAAAATAATGGACAGAAAAATGACAAATAAAAACCTGATATGTACATGTATAAAGCCAAATTTATTGAAAAGGTAGACAAATCTATTGAATTCTAAAACACTCCGTTTTTAAAGACAGCACACAGTACAGTCGCAAAATGGAGTTTTTGCAATATGTGGATTAGTTTCTGGATTGGGTTGTAGATACAAAATGTCTTTATAGGTTGGAGCATGGTTTGTAAATGGGGAAACTTCCAAAAACCTCAAGAGTTACTTTTCTTTTACATTTAGACATTCTTGACAGTTATAAGTGTGTTGTGTTCAGAAGTGAAAGTCTAATGTCATTGGCGTAGTGGTCGACTTGTATCATAAGACTGAATACTGTCTAATGGATATCGCTCAAAGTGCTTGAATATAAATGAACAAAAATGCCAAAAATGTAAATGCATAAATTCCCAGGGTGTCAGTTTCTTTTTATGTATCTCTTCATACTGAACTATAGCAACGTTTATGTAAAGTAACAAAAATAGTATTTTTCAGTCTTTTTTCAGTTTAAGTTCAACTTTCTGTTCAGTATTCAAGATTGAAAATGTATTTATGAAGTTAAGTTTCTTAAACTTTAGGCCATGGCATTTTCTTGTAAAAAAAGGAAGTGATTCTTCAATTCTTTTTCAAATACATCCGTCTTATCTTTTGTTCTGGAAGTTCTCTTTCGGTGTATCATTGGTACTGTGTTGTAGCCTGTACTGCTGATGTCATTCCTGGCTGTGCCTTTTCTATTGGCTTTGTGCCTAAACCAGAGAGGGCGCTATTTTTCCTAGGAACATCTCTTGAGGCCGCACTAGATGTGTTGTGTAGTTATTCATGTGTATATGGCTTGCAGGACTCACACGTGTGCACAGCACACACAGTCAACTTTGAGCCAAGTCAAACTGAAAGCTTTCATTTTCACACCTTTCACCTTTTGCTTAGCAGCTGAAACATTCACAACCCCCTTCTCTCCTGTAGCTCTGCCCCGTGTTTATCCTGCAAAGGGAGGATACTGTGTTGAGGAGAAAAAGAAAGTGTAGCCTATTCTTGTATTCAGGTAGTTGAAGACTTGAAAGCTTGGTTTTTATGCCAAAGAGGGTAATTAAACCTAGGATTTCTTGAGAAAATATGTACTTATCTGTGTGTATATAATATTGCTGCAAATGATGATACCAGAATAAATCGTGGAATTAACACAGATGTATGCATTAAAGGAAATTAGAAAACCTTTCAATTCATTTCTGATCTTTAGTATTTTTAAATTGGCATTTCAAGCGAATGGTTTGAATGTGGATCTGTGCTTGTCAAAAATGAATTATATATGAACCTACATAAGACTAGTACTGTTACAAAGTTTATGTACTTAAACCTTTTTGAAACTAGAAAGGTGTAAATTGTATTTCAGATTTTAAATGACAACTGGTTGGTTGTTTTTATTTATTGTGGATGCTATTTTACAAAATTGCACAAGGTGGAAAATTCTGTTTATTTTGCCTGTGCTGAGAACTTTGTGTTCATCATTAAAAATGTGAAATACATAAAACGACACATAAAATTATCCTCATTTTCATTTGATTTGTAACCATTTTGGGATATGAAGGGAAAAAAAGCTCTAAAATTGCAAGTTGAATAGAATGAAATTAATATCAATATGAAGGGGGTTCCAAAGAGTAGGTTCTGGGCGACCCCCCCCCACTTTCATGTTCATTGCCCCTCCCCCAATTGAAAACCTTAATAGACTTGATCCAGCTCAGCTTCAATGTGTCTCAACTCTTGATAAAACCCACACACAGCAAGTAATTTTTCTGGCCTTATCTTTTCTATCAATTAAAAACATGGAAATTGTGGAACTGTATGAAGAACCTGTAAATAAATCAAAGCTGAAGACAGCAGTTATTATAATTCCACTCTTTTCTAACTTCTGTGACGACTTATGCCAGTTTAATCGTAAAACGACGTGGCAGCAGACAAACTTGCCCATTTCGATGGTTTCCTAGCACATTACCGTACGCATTGCATACTACGCCGGGCACCCGTATGCATCGCATCGGCCATTTTCGTTGGAGAAACGCACGCACGGGTGGTTAGCCAGGGACCAAGATGGCAAGGTTGTTTCAGATAGGAATTCTTCTTCTGTTGAGCATATCTTCGTCGTTAGGTTTATATTTTCACATTGGTGAAACAGAAAGAAAATGTTTCATTGAAGAAATCCCAGACGAAACTATGGTAATTGGTGAGTATCATACTATCATAGCTCAACACGAACATCCCGTAACGGTAGGCGTACCGGGCCACGTTAGGCCCCCCGCGTTTTAGTTTTACGCATCGCTACAACTTAGGCCGGATTCCAGGGTCTAGCAGCAGAACTGCGTGCCCTTATTAATGTGTTCATGATCACTGACAATGTGTGTGGTGTAACATCACAATTCTGCCGTTACAGCATTACCACCAACATGACCAAAAATTTCTGACTTAATATTTCCCATGTTTCCTTCCTTAACATGCGTAAGGATTCCATCTGAACGAAGAATTGCTGTAACTTTCGAGACAGAGAATTTTTGTTTGGTGTTAAATATTTGCTTTTCAGGTGTTAATATTTAAGACTGAATAAAGACACATTTATTTCCCTTCTAAATACCTGGTGTTGAGTCAGAAAATCAGAAGTTAGGCCTAATAAAGAATTATAAATTTCGGATGGTTTTGTTCTACAAATTTCATTTCATTGGTTTCAAACACGTGTCTATCATGTCTACTCTAGCCATGTTACGGTATTTTCTTCTTGCAAGGTCATGGACAATCTTCTTATGAGAAGTTTGGTTAGGCATGGTGCGTACTGCATGAGGTGGCACAGCCAGCTGGCACTTTATCAACCGTTTAAGACTGGCCATGTGACAGGCTCTTGTCCAATAGGAATGCTTATACTGTCTTGGATATTTATGAATGGTGGATAAATATCAACTGAGTGGTAGGCCATATGTAACAACATTTCTACTCTGTATTGTTTAGCGTCATTTATTTTCATTTTGCTCTTGCAGGTAATTATAAAACGCAGCTGTACGACAAGAATTCCAATGACTTCATGCCTTCCAGCCCACACATTGGCATGCACGTAGAAGTCAAGGACCCAGATGGTAAGATCATCCTCTCCAAGGTGTACAGCTCAGAAGGCCGTTTCACATTCACCTCACACACCCCGGGAGAACACTCCATCTGCCTGTACTCAAACTCTACCAAGTGGTCCATGTTTGGTGCTAACAACAAGATGGTAGGTGCCAAAAAGGCAATTTCCTCTCTATTCCCTTCTCCTTTCGATATTTAGGCTTCACAGGTTAACCCTTAACTTCTAAGTTCCTTCTTATCCACCAAGAGATTTTGTAGGATTCAGGAAGGGATGGCCTAATTGCTATTATGTAATCGTAATGTAGGGCTTCAGTGCTTAAGTTCAAAGAAGGTGGTTCCAACTTCCTTCACAGTGGAAGATCTTGGAGACTTCAGGGAGGTTGTTCGATTAAAAAAAAGGTGAAGTTAGGATAATGAAAAACACCTGTGGAAGGTCTGGAAATGTGGTGGTTATCAGATATGTAGCCAGCACTTTTGTGATTGCTTGCCCATTTTGCAGAGAATTCACCTGGACATTGAGGTGGGAGAACACGCCAACGATTACAAGCAGATAGCAGAGAAGGACAAACTGACAGAGCTCCAGCTACGAGTCAGACAGCTTCTGGATCAAGTGGAACAGGTCCAGAAAGAGCAGAACTACCAAAGGGTGAGTTGGTCATCCCTTCACCCTTTCATGCCTCACAGAAAACATCAGTTTCCACAATGACGGGAAATTGATTGGCATAGTTATGATTCTAAATTTTAAGAATTGCCAAAATATTGTTACATTATTGACAAGTTGTGGAGTGTACAGTGGTATCCAGTTCTTGAAGTGAAGCCCAATATTGTAGGAGGGTCCAGGGAACATTTTCCTAGACTTAGCCATTTCAGAAAACCAGACTTGTCACCACTTTCTTAATTCCGGGTTTTGCCCTAACACTGGCAGAACTGTGGCCTCATGGTTAAGAGCATTGGATTCGTCGTCGTCAGGTAAAGCCACAGCTTTCGGGTTTGAATCCAGCTTGGAATCATGGTGTGTATGCCCTTGGGCAAGGCACTTTGTTACTCATTGCTTCTCTCCACCCAGGAGTAATTGGGTACCTTGTCGGGGCATTGAGCTGTATACTCCCCAGGGAACTGAGATGGTATTTGGAATGTTTTATAGGTCCAGTGAGTAGGAGTAATAATAGTGGAAAGCGCTCTGATCTTAGTTAAAAGCACTTTATAAAAACCTGTTGTCCAAGAACTCATGATAAAAATGAATTCCTACCTACATGCTGCTGGCGCAAAGTACATCTTTGGAAATGCTATGACTGCATTTCCAACCTTTATTCTTGATCGTCATACCAATCAACTTGCAAACTCCTCTCTCATTTTCTCCCCATCCAGTTTCGTGAGGAGCGCTTTAGGCAAACCAGCGAGAGCACCAATCAGCGGGTCCTGTGGTGGTCACTCGGACAGACCGTCATCCTCTTGGTCACCGGCTTCTGGCAGATGAGGCATCTCAAAGGATTCTTCGAGGCCAAGAAGCTTGTATAGTCGTGTTCTTTCGTCGGGGATTTATTAGGTGGGATAATTGGTGTGGGCTTATATAACAGACCTAAAACATACTGACGTCACTCTTGCTGTACATGTATATGTATATGCACACTTTCTTATGGGGGTTGGATGGATCACGTCCTGTTTCACTGCCGTAGGAAAGTACACATCTAACAAAGGGTGACGTAATTATGTTGTACATGTAGGTGCATTGGAGTAAGGGGAGTGTAACTAAATACAAAGGCGGATTACCTGTATGTGGCCTCCCTCTAAATCTCCATGTTGATGGTGTTGTGGTCAGTAAATGGATGACGGGGGACAAATGGAACTTTGGCAAACGTCAGAAATATGTTGAGCACATTGTTTGGAGTTGAGCCAAAACAACCAGGAACCAGTCAGAGAGGATACACAATGTGTGACATGTTGGACAGTAAGATTCATTTTTTGCTAGGCAAATGTTTGCTGTGCCTAGCATGTGTCTGTGTCGGCAGCCCGCTGAAATTGACCCCGGGATGGAAAAGGTTGGAAGGAACTTTGGTGGTGTGTTGAATGGAATAAGGCCCAGCTCTTCCGTACTCCTAGACTTTCATTCATCAGAAGGGTGCCCAGATGTGATCCTTTTGTACCCACTTACAAATTTGCCCAACTTTTGGCATCTTTCAAGAGCATTGGGATATATATATCAACTGACCGAGATACTATTGACAACAGAAAACTGTGATTTTGGGGGTGTAAAAAGCCGGGTCATTACCAGACTGTTGATTCGTAGCACTTTCTTCATAATATGGTACATATTCTACACAGAATTCCCTGTCCTCCACTGAATTTGTTAAATGCCCAGTTGTAATATAGAAATGTATTTGAAGATAATGGGGCTTGTAGAGACTAAATTGGCAGTTAGAAATTATGCAATAATTTGTCGAGTCTGTGAATGCAGACAATTCTAGTCAGACATTTAAATTGATATACTTCAGCGTATGATGTTTTTCCCACACAAGTGCGCACACTCTTCGGTTGGTGGTAACGGTACTTTTCTCAAACGAGAATGATTTTGACTTCCCCGCAACCATTTTGGTCAACAGCACCTCTCTGTTGTTAATGTTTGAATGTGTGAGCAACAGTGGGTCGGATTTGGAATACTTTCATTTATGATTGACTTTTTTAATCATTCTTTTTTTTCCTGTTTTCTGTTAAAAAAAGTAATTTATCAGTAGTTTTTGTCGTTTTTGAGAATCTGTGCTCAGTTTAAAAACTATACTCTCGGAGGAATTCTGCCTTGTGAAATAAGGGCATAAAAACCACCAAGTTAACTGAGCAGTAATTAAACATAGATTTGGAAACAACAAGGGTTTACATGTATTTGGTCTCCAAAATTGTCAAAATGTTGAGTAGTTATGTATGGTGTAATTACTGTCATGTCCTGCAAAGTTCACCTTTTGTGCATTTTGGCTGACGGTGCATATTTCAACTACTTGTACTTTGGATTGTTCCTAACCTGCCAAGTTTCACCTGTTTCATCACAATATCCACCTGCACGTAATTAGACTTTTCTTTTTCTCCTTGCCATTTCCTACTTAATGTGTAGTTGTGTAGTGTAGATCATATCAAGAACAGTATTTTGCATCTGTTGATTTAGGCAGCTTTTGGTGTCTGGGATCTCTGTATTTACTATTTAGTTTGAATGAAGGTGGATATTATGTGTGTAAATTTCTATCTTTGAGAGTATTTTTTCCATGTACGTGTACTGGGTTCGTTTTACCATTCACAAAGGTAAATTTTTGGTTTGCTTTCTGTGACCTTCCCAGCCCAGTCCAAACTTTGAAATTTCTCTAAAATATCCCGCACAAAATAACCTCTTGCAAACATCACTGGTACTTGTAGCCAAAACTGGATTTCAGTTTTTAATTTAATCAAGCAGAATATATGCTATCAATGTATTAACTATCAGAATATACATGCCAAAAATTTACCTTTTTCATGCGAATTTTATTGAGACTCTGAGGAATACTTTTTCCCGCCAAATTTGCTCAGTTTCCTTAGGAAAATCTTTGAAGTGCACATTATATGTAAGATATGTTTTCAGAGCATTCACATGACAGTTTCTTTGGTTTTAGCGCTTTATTTAATGCAAATTGTCTCACAGTGATGTGTATGCAATAAAGTTTTGTTGGACCTCTCAGACATGTGTTCTGCTCTTGTCTGTGGAAAACTGTAATTCTAAGTTTGGTAACTCAACTACTGAAAGTTTTCACTGCGAATTAAGAAACAAGCAACTGTATTTGGGTACTGAACTTCATTTTTGGATTTTTGAACGTATAACTAAGAAAATCACAAAACAAATTGTCTACCAAATGGTAAACAATAGTCATTTTCAAAACCAGGTTTTTATTTATGGTCATAACCACTACCAGCATCTATTTGTCCACTTGATCCTTTGTGTTCGGCAATACAAATTGTTCACACATTTATGTCAATTATGAATAAATTTTAAAACAACTATGTATTCTGTTTTACAGTTGTTCTTGAAGTAATTTTGCAACAAAATTTTAACTTGCTTATATATACAGATACTAAAATCCTTCAACTGAACAAATGAGACGGTTTATTAAAATAAACATATATTTGCATGACCGTATGAAAAAGATTGCTTTGAATTTCACCTAATAGGTTAAAGGATAAAAACGGAATGAATAAATTCAAGGCTCTTTGTGAACTCCAGTACCACACGATAAAAAGTCCATTAGAAATTGCAATTTAGGCAAAATATAAACATTTACAAAACAGTGTTCAGGAACAACATCTGTGGGAAAATCTCAGCCTGTTTTTAAAACCCACACTACTGTGCATGTTAAGTTATATTTATGAGACACATTTTTCCAACACCTCCGGAGAGTGGAATTTTTGTCCAAAAATATGTTTGCCTAAAAAAGAAGCTAAAAACAACTTTTTAAATTCTCAACTTAAGTACCAGCTAGTGGAACAATTAACTCTGGAAATAAAATATATGCCAAGGACACCTCAGCCTTGCATTTTGAAGATTTACCGAAAGGCACTCAATACATGTCAAAATCAAGAAAAATCAGAGCTGATGTGATCAAGGTAACCATGGGAAACACAAAAAGCTGCATACAAATAGAAGTGGAAACATTCTGAAGCATTTTTTGGAATCTGCTTTCTCCAAGGTTTTTTGAGGGTAGAAACTTCCATTCGGAGAGAAAAAAAGTCTAAATAAGGACAATCAAATACATAGATTTCTTTTGAGGCCTGCAGTGGGGTTCCATATGCCCCTCTTTGTAAAATACTGTACTGAAAGTTTAAAGCTTTAGATATTTACATGAAAGACCATCTTTATATAATTTGGATTTAATGCTTTGAAGTTCTGAGCATTCGTATTCAAACTATTAAAAAAGTTGTAATTTTCTAAAAGCAAATAGCAACAATGTGATGTTTGTACTTCAGCCTCCGCTCAGCAAATTTGTGGTTATTTTTCATATTCAGCGTCATCCCTGAGCTCCAGAATCCTGAGAATCACTCACAAATATCTATTGTTGGGACCAAATAGAAATTCATGTACTGCACACTTTGGCATCACCTATCAGACACTTTGATTTATATATTAAGCAGAAACAATCCAGCTGCCCTGAGCCAGAAGTTTATGAAACTCAAACCTGGAGGCAGTGAAAGAACAAATCTCAGGTTTGGAAAACTTTCACTTGTAATCACCCCCGAAAATACCTCTTGCGTCTGCTATGTGCTGTCAAGTAATTCAACCCTGACCTGACCTCTAATATGAATATTCAGACTGGCCAGTGTTCACCCCTCTTCCGCCCCCTTTTTTCTTGAGGGGCTGCCTCTCCTCTTCCTCTGAGTCTGTATCCATCCGTGCCCTCCTGTCGATGTCTGCATCGTCAATGGGCGTGGCCGTTCCACCCAGAGGTTCTGGGCGGGGCATCCCAATCTGGGGCAGGGCGTTGCCCTGGAACGCCGGCTTGGAGGGGCGGTCCTGGTCATCGTGGCCGGCACCACTGGTGATGGGAGCCAGCTTCTTGTTCTGTTTGTTCTTCTTGAGTTTCTTAAGGAGCTTGTTTGGTCTCCTGTTTTCATAGAAAGATGTACACTTGTTAACAACAGCAGGAGGAAAAACACACCTAGCAGGAAGAAACAGAAGTCTGACAACAACTAGGTTTGTAGAATCAATCTTCAAGGTTGCCTCCATTTTCTGTAACAATTACACTGATTTAGAACCAGTAAAACTGTCGCGATTGGTAAAGCACAGGTCACTTGACTTACCTCCTCTCCCTGCTGGGCGTAGACACAGCTGAGTCATTGGTATTACCCAGAATGCTTAGCTTGATCTTCTCTTCTAGACTTGTGCCAGCCTTAGAGGGTTTGCCCATCTTCATCTGCTTGACAGAGGACCTGTAGGATGTAGAATAAGACTTTAAGATGGTTCAGCAAAGTTGTCACATGACAAAGGTAGTGTGACAAACAGGTGTAACACACAGGGAAGCAAATGGTTTAAAAGAGTCACACAGGGTGATGGATAGCATGATGCATGGTCCCCTGGATATATTGGCTGGCCAATTCGAAACAGATATTCCAAACCATAAATGAATGAAGAAATTTTGATAATTGAAAATATTCCTATGTACCAATAAAGTTTCTGTGGGCCCATACCTTCTTTGGTTGCCATTATTAGCAACATCATCAGCCTCCTCCTTCTCTTCACCAAGCTCCTCCCCCTCCTCCTTGTTGTACATCTTCCTCAGCAATGGTTCTAGGTCTTTTTCTGTCTTGCCCGGAAACAAGAGGTAGAGAATATTGCGCAGCTCTGCAAGGCTAAACTTACCGTGCTTGACAATCCCAGAAATGAACTGCAGCTCCTGCAATTGTCCAAAACACGGAAGGTAAAACGGTGATGGGAAACACACTTTGAAAATTCAGTATCTAGCAAGAAATTCTGTCCAACTGTTCAAAGGAAGACTGGTTCACCTGTTCTTGCAGCTGTCTCAGCCTCTCCACCTCAAAGTTTCTGCGGAGATCTTCAAGGGCCTGATTTACTTCAATTTCAAGATTACGTCTGATAAATAAAAAAAACTGATTGAAAAGAAATATTGGTTGTGGGTAATAAGAAACCCCGTTAAAATCTTTTTAAATGCATTAAAAACATTATTTTAAACGAATTTTGGTTCAGCCAATGTAGTATTTTACCCTACCCTCCCCACAATCCTCCATTCACTTGCTTTGTTAGAGTTTCTGGTTAAAAAAGGCATTATTATAATAATTTTCAAACTGATAAAAAGTTATTTTCCCTCCTTGTAACAACACTTTTTATATTCAAGTAAATAGCCGGACCTAAATTCCTCCATCTCCATGAGATGCTTGTGTTTGAGAGCGACTCGTTTCAGCCTGGCAGAGGTTTTGTTCTTTTCATTTTCGCTCAGTCGTTGCAGCTCTTCCTCTTGCTTGCTAAGGAAGATCTGCTCTCGGTCAGCCAGTTTATCTCGGAGGCGACGCTTGAAATCTTTCTCCTGTTTCTCTCGTTGGGCCTTGAGCTTGTTTTCCAGGTTCTTAGCTTCCTATAAAATTGACAAAAAATCAGAAATGGACATAAAAACTACAGGCTGAGAGAAAATTGCAGATTCTAATTTAACGTTTGTAACTGTAAGCTATTAAAGACACAAACCTTCTGATGAGTTTCAATGACCTTCTTACAGTCAGCGTTGCGGATGATACCTTCCTCTGTCATATTGTCCAGCATGTTCATCTTTAATTGCCATAGTGCCTTTTGTTGTTCTTCAATCGTTGCGATCTGATTGGGCAACAAGAAAAATAATGTGTCACATGATGAAAGGCCATATATACCAGATCATTATGCGGGGTCATCACACACTCTCTAAGTAAAATCTGGATATATACCAGATCATTATGCGGGGTCACCACACACTCTCTAAGTAAAATCTGGATATATACCAGATCATTATGCGGGGTCATCACACACTCTCTATGTAAAATCTGGCTCGTTTTTGAAATAATACAAGTTAGTTAAGTCTAAGTTTCCGAAAGACAAGATTTACACTTTTTAGCCAGATGTAAGTCCCAAATAGTGAATGAATATATACATATGAATATTCATCAATGTGACTGACCTCTCTTGACCTCTCTAGCTGTAGCTTAGCCACCAAGGTACCAAGATGTTCTTCTTGCTCTTTAAGTGCTACAACCTTGGCCTGCATCATTTCCACTCTCACCTTTAAGAGAGAAATAAAAGTTTATGTATTTTCATTTTTATATTTGATGAACTTCAGTGCCAAATTGATCACACTTCTGTACATCAAAAATCAGTGGGGATGAGGAATTTTCTGCAGAAGGTAAGTAAAGATATTTTTGCATGATGTGTTAATAAATTACTGAATAATGTGGAAATTGGTAGTTTTACTGCATGTGGACAATTGTGAAGAATCCTTTCTTGATGACAAATAACCAATAAGAGTGACTACTGACTGCTTCAAGTTCATCTTCTATGTCCTCTGCGTCATTTCCAGACAGCAGGGCAATCTTCTCTTCAGCTTGTTTCTTTATCAACTCTTGCTGCGTCTCTTCTCCATCTTCATCACTGTCTGCAAGTTGCTGTTTGCGGGCCATACGCTGTAAAGTGATTACAAAGAACAAGGCTTTAATGTCGTGACTGCATAGAGGAAAGTTGTCTCGGCCTTGATGATGAGCATTAAGCAAGGCAGATCCCTTGGGGGCCATTTTGTCATGAACATTTAGAAAATTCTTTCAGTATAAACAATGAAAAATGATGCCCTAAATTGCATTGTTCTCCTCACAGAGAGCGCAACTAACCTCATCTTATCAACCAAGTCAGTCCAATAATCAAAATCTATGAAGCTAATCTAAAACGAACCAACAAAGTGAATAAGATGTACAAGTGTACAAAATCACCCAATTGATGTACAACAATAAGAATTGACTCAATGGCAACAATTAAGAAATGTCACTGCACTTATTACAGGCCTGATTCCCACCTGTGCTTCCTGGGTGTGTTTCCTCTGTAGTTTCTCCATCTGTCTGGCCCGTCGTTGAGTCACCCTCTCCTCCAGCAGTCGTCGCTGCTTGAGTTTCTGCAGTGCCAGGCTGCTATCCAGAGCCACTTGCTGCTTCTCGTGCTCGTCCAGGATGCGCTGCCGGTCCTCCTCTGAGATGGCCAGCTGGGAGGCGAGGATGCGGCTACAGAGGAAGGATCAGAGATGAGGAGTGTACCAACTGAGATGGTTTATCTAGCTGGTAAGCATTAGTGAGACTACCAACATGAAGATTTAGCTGCCATAGTGCCAGGTTTTATTATCATAATATTGTCAAATTCGGACACATTTTTGGAAGCTGTTGAAGTGTTGCCCTAGCCTTTACAGTTAAATGGTAAACCACTTTTCTTGTGATGAATCTTTGACAAAAGACCTTGACTAGACTTATTTGTGAGAGTAATGCCATTGGAGAACAGACATCAAACAGGAAAAAGCCATTGTTGATAAGGGGAAATGACACATGTTCTGTAAAATTCAGTAAGCATTATGCTCACCCGACCACTTTCTCCTCATGGTCTCGAATCATCTGCTGTTCTTGTTTCTCCTCTTGTTTTCTGTTGATCCATTCCTGGCGATGCCTAGCCAGACGCTTCTGCATTGCCAACACAAAAACATCTCCCTTCAGGACAAAGAAACTGACGGTTCTATTTCATTTCTTACCAAATAAAGCAGGGGACTTCCAGACGGGTTTCATTTTTATAACAGAATTTCTAAAGCTATTGCAACATGAAAACAAAATTCAGGATTGGTATGCCAAAGTTGTGAATTAGTTCTGAATCCTATCAAAGTGGACAAACAAAATTGTTATCAGCCATTGGCTTGACAAGGACCACTGAGAGAGATACAAGTGGCCTATTACTGTGGAACATACAGGGCTTTACCTTCAAGAGCCTTTCTTGCTTCAGTCTCTGCTCTTCGTGCTCTTCAGCTAATCTTTCCATGTCTCTCTGATGCTGCTCCAAGATCTCATTCTTCATGCGCTCGGTCATTCCTGCGGATGAGGACCATGTGAAAGAAGTGAAGGATGAGGGGAACGCAATACATCCAAAAAGTGACTGTAGTTTTTGAACTGTGGTATAGGATCAATTGACCAACATAAAGGTTTCTGTTTCATCGATCGCGTTCCTTGGAGTATAGTCTTCTCTCAAACATCTACTCACCATGACTCATCAGGTCTTTGAAGAACCCCTCCTTGCTCCTGGTGAGTTTCTCCTTGGTCTCTCCTGCCAGCTTCTTGTGGAGGTCATCCAACTGCTTGGCTGCATCATCGTCCAGGGATAACTCCAGCTCGTGCATCTCGCTGCGCTGGGAGGCGAGGAGGTCTGTCTTGGCATCCATGTACTGTGAAGGATCTGGGATGAGTCCAGAATACACTACGTGATGATACTGTGTCTCAAGAAGTTGCACCTAATAAATACTTTTGCTTCTTAAAATGCCTTGTAACTAGGGTGAAAGAATCATTCTAGGTGGTTTTTGACTTACCAAGATTGTTATTTTCCAGTTTTGCTCGCTGCTCTTTTTCAAACTGATCTAGTTGTTGCTTATGTTCTCGGGCCTAGTAGGGTGAGAAAACATGATGATGATGATAGATAATGATGTTGACTGACCGACAGACTGACTTTCAGAACACAGTTAGCCAAAACGAGATGAAGTAAGTACTTTACCAAGGAGCCGAGCTAGAAGGGTCAGTCACTGGCTTTTCAGCAACAAAATATCCGACAGAAAGACAGTCAATAAGATGAACATAGCAACAACGGAAATACACAGATCCTCACTGATTGTTTATTGTCTTTGACACCTGCTGGTACACCTTCCTTTATGCGACCACCTGTTCCGTTTGGCACAGACTGCAAATCATTTATATTTTTGAGGGGGTGGGTGGGTTAGGAGGGATAACTGTTTATAAATTCCACCAAGCATCTTACCCTCTCCTCTAGTTTTCTCTTCTTGAGTTCACTCAGCCTCTTGTGAAGTGCCTCTTCCTGTTTGGATTTCTCCTTGTCATACCCTGCCTTAGCAGCCATGAACTCCTGCCTCAATCTCTGGGTGTAGCGCTCTGCCTCTGCCTCTGTCAGCTTGTCATCCTTCTCCAGCTCGTCGATGACGCCCAGGGTCTGCGTTACCATGGTGTTCAGCATCTGCTTGTGGTGGTCACCTAGAGAATCCTGGATGGATAAACCGCAAAGAGAGTGCTAGTTGAAGATGTGCATTATGAAAGATTGTGTAACAAATATTTATTAAATTTATTAGATTTAATCAACCGAGAAAGTTAAACTACATGCATGCTGATCAGGGGTAATATTTCACCACTTGTTTTCAGAAAACATACTGAATCCATTTTGAGCAACGATACAAAGTACATGAATCCTCAGTATCAGTAATAAATCAAGGGCAAATTGATATTTTTTTTAACCTACATGTAGATAAGCCTGCTTTCCTAGGAGTTTAAGGACATGAGAAACTCTCTCCTCTTACATTTGACTGTGCCAGCGCCCGCCGCTTGGCCAGCTTCTCCTCCAGCAGCATCCGTTGCCTTGACAACTCATCATCCATGGCGGTCTCCAGGTCCTGCATGTTGCTACGGTGCTCCCTCAACAGCCTCGCAGCCGCATCCTCGTCTAGCTTGGATTGGAGGATGACTTCATCAAGGTACCCCTCTTGGAGTGACTTGACACCCAGGCGCTTGCGGATGGCAATTTCCTGCGTGAGATGGTATTGTGGTCAAGTATTTCATTAGCACTTCACAAATAGTACTTACAACTGCTTCACAATTACATTACTAGTACCTCAGTCCCACTGAAAGCAACAACCTACTCCAATATGAAGTAGAACAAAGACCTTTCTTAATTAATGTTCACCCACTGTTTCTATTAACAGTATTTACAAGTAGCGAAAATTCATTTGAAGTACAAGTTAGTGTTGGGCAGTTCCAGAATTCTCAGGACTTGTGAAGTCCTTTACAACACTGGTATTAGGACACTTGATAACTTCTTTATCGCTGGCCGGGGCAATAATGTCTCACTGTCAGCTTAGTCAAAATACCAGTTCCATATTTGGGGGGGGGGGGCTTGTTTCTAGCTTCTGTGGCAATCAATTTGTAATAAAAGGTCCTGTAATGCCAAAATTGTGTAAGTAAAGAGAAAGAGGGCATTGCAAGACAAAATGTATGTATGGGGTAGAACCCTTGCAATTAACTAATTTAATCTGAAAGACTTTCTCTCTCCAGATTTCCATGTCTCTTTGAAGTATTCATTTACAGCTAAAGTAAACGAATGTATCAAGACAGAGTGCTTGGCTTTGGTTACAATTCTTTGTCTTGATTCTCATCAATCCTTTCATCTTCCTCCAACATGTACCTTTCGGGCTTTCTCCTGTCTCTCGTCCTGATGGAGTTTGAGCAGCTGCATCACTTCATTCTTCTCTGCGTCATGCTGTTGCCGTAGCAACAGTAAGATCTCTCTCCTCTCCTACAGAGGACGGGTAAACAATGAAGCTCACAGAATTCCAGACTGTGAATTGCATGTAATTTTCCGTGTGAGTTTGCGCAGTTCTTGACAGCAATAATTGAGTTATTGAGAAAAAAAAATCCTGCTTTAATTGAAAATTCCATGATGTGGTTTGGGATTAATTCTAATTTCTGCGTTTCTCAAGGACACACTGTCGACTAGCCTTTAGCATTAGATTAACTATGGAATAGCAAACAGTAGCAAGGATCTAAAAATAAATGGTTGTCAGGGAGTTGTCTGCTTAACTAATGGGAAACATTTCTGTCATTTCTGAAACTCAAAGAACAAATGAGCAACACAATGTTGTTTGTACCTCTTCTGTCATTCCTTTTGTCTGTGTCAGGGTGTCATTGTATTCGGCTTTGTGTTTTCTCTGAAGCTCAGCTAGTTTCAGCTGAAAAAAGAGACGCAAAGGAAAGCCAAAAACAACTTTTCAAATAATTAGTTTATCTTCAAATCGATAAAAAATAGCCTGCGCTTATATTCAGATCAACTCTTTACATCTAAAACATGGCATTCAACACCATTGGTTTGACAATCATTGTTTGCAATAAAACTGTTCTAAATAATCTTTCAAGATTTTTCTATTCTGAATTTAAAAATTTATATATGCAATGCAATTTAACAGAGTAAGATCTAGCATTTCAAAGTAAGTTTTAATTTTTCAAAAATTGTCCTTTTTTCAAGAAGAGAAACCAAAGACTCACTTTATTCCGAGCGCTCAATTCCTTGATAAGTTCTCGGCATTCCTCCTTATACTCATCATCCAGTGTCTTGCTCAAGTCCTTAACTTTGCGCTGGAATTTCCTGTTGGACTTGTCACAGATTTTCTTTGGCACGGTGCCCTCTGTTGCCCATTTGCTGACCAGGTTGATACTAGATTCCACCATGGCATCGATGCGTTGCTGCTCCAGTTGGATATCGATTGTGATAGTCCACCAGATGTCCAAGCTGGACATTACAACAAACAATTAAAAGGAGTCACTCATTACAGAAATTGAATTCTACCTTTTATAAACGTGTTTATTTGTTCTTGTAATCAGACAAACCAGAGGAATCTCCTTACTTTTCAAATTCCAGCAGCTTTCTAGCCTTGTCTTTGAGAGCCAGAACCATAACGATGCTGTCGTCTATAGCAATCAAGCTGGAGAAAGAACAATTTAATGAATCATGACTACAAACATCCCAGATTTCTCAACTAGAATGAGGAAATGTTTGAAAAATAGCTGGGGCTAAAGTTAAAACCTCAGGGTGGCTACGGAGACAGTTCTGATCTTCAAATGCTTCAGTTCCACAAGTTCTGAAACTTATGGGAACTAGGTTCTAGAAGGTTTGGAAGTTCTTAAAATTTCAGTAAGTTATAAGTTGTTTTTTTGCCTTGAACTGTAGAGATTCAAAGGTCAGAAAGCACTTCATTCAATGAGAGTGAATGGAGTGACTCACCAAAACTCCTTGAGGTTACTCAGGCCAGACCGAGCCCCACCCTTTGCATTCATGACTAATCCCTGTCCCTTAGACCCTCCGGCGTTCTTGCCGATTGGCTGCACGGTAGCGTAGGGACCCTTCCGGCAGCACTTGATGCAGATGAGGCAGATCAGGGCCACGATGATGCAGCCAATGATGAGAGCGACAAAGAAGAGGACAGCTGCAAGGCCGTGGTCATAGATGATACTTTCCTCCTGGGTTTCAACAGGTGTGATACAGGTCTCTGGTTGGACGGTGGGGCTGTAGGAACGGCCGGGATGCTGCCAAAAAACCAAAACAAATCCACTGCACATTTCCACCAATTAATGACAAAGGAAACACATCTATAATGCTGCATTAAACTTAGAAAACAAGTTCTTATCAAACAAAATTAATTGTCAAACTGAACATTTGAACACATGTTTTAAATTAAAGATAATGTCTAATCAAAAGTACTGTGTCCTACCTCTGCTGTTATTTCCTGAGTTGGCATGGAGTGCCATGTTGCCATGGCAACATGTGTCAGTGATGTACCAATGTCATTGGTCACCGTGTCATCACTGAAGTAAGCCTTGTATGAGAAAGTTAATGTATCACCAACTACAAGGAAAGAGAGTACAAAGCTGACAGATGAATATGAGCAAATCAAAATTATTATATCAGAATTAATTTACAATCATGCTGAAATTTTTGAACACATAAACAGATCTTTATTAATGTTAACTTTAGCTGTTTTCTGAAACCCAGCATGAATACTTACAAGCCTAGCTAATGACATTTTATTGTTAAGCCATTTAACTCTAAGGTGACTCATTTACCTCTTAGGTTACTCATTTCACTCTCAGGTGAGTTTGACTTTCCTACTTTGTGATTTGTGTTACTCACTGCAAGAACAGCCCACTGCTTGCATTTTACACTCAAAAAGAATGGTTCAAGACATGTGACTCACTAATGACGCACTGTACACACACGTGACTCATTACTCGCTACACCTTGAATGAATGAATCAGTCCTATAACTTACCCATCAGCTTGTCCACCTGATAGACCAATTCCTGTGAGCTCACAGTGAAACCATCTGTCCCATAGGCTGGCTCTAGGTCAGTGAAGTATTCCAAGATGAACCCTTGAACCTGATCCTTGAACACTACCCCGTACGCAGGGGTCCCAGACTGGGGTGAGTGGGACAGGGTTGTGGTGAAGCGCAAGTAGTTTAGTGAATAGTCTAGATCCTCAGTCACTGCCTCATCAAGCTGTGAGATCATGGAAGAAAATAGAAATGTCACTGCCATGCTGAATTCTGATGTCAAACAGCAAAGTGTTGCTTATTAAAAAAAGTTGAGCTGGGACCCAAAAGTCATTTTCACAGTGATCTTTTAATTTTTTTGCTCGCAAAATGAGAAAAATAACAGACAAAAATATAAAAGAGTTTGTGATTTCATTCTAAGAACAATTACTGCAGGAAGTTTTGCTGTTTAATCAACCTACCACAGTGAGTGTCTTGTCCAGTATCAGATCTGGTTCGGAGACCACTAGTACACTATTACCTAGAGGGATGTCCTCCTGATTTAGATTCATTGTGAAGGTATAGGTTATCATGACTCCTTTGACAGTCTGTGCTGTTTGTCCAATGATCAACCGAATCTGTAAGGATAAAGCATGGCAAATACCACTTCTTGTCATGAAGTGGGAAAAATGACGACAGTGAGCTGGGGGGGGGAAGCAGTACAAGATTGAGGTTAATGTACAGGTAATCCGGCAAAGCCTAAAAAAAGCACAGTCACATCAGACATTTCAGTTCTTGGATCTGAATGGGTGCATGACCAAAGGTAGAGTGGCATACATGTATGGTCTCTTAATACTATAGTCCCTTTCATTTTTGTCAATTGACAATTAAGAGAAAGAGGAAAATAATTGCTTTCATTGAAATACAAAACTGAGATCAATGGATGACAGACTTCACCAGTGGTTAGTATGGAAACTTCATAAATCCCCAAATTCAAATACCATAATGTCAGTATTAATTTTTTTCTATGCTCAATAAAAATATTGATCCTAAAAATTTGTCATGGCTTGATAATAATGGCAAAAATAAAAGCTTGATGTAATTTCCCAATGTTTATAAATATTTCTATATTTGCACTGTTACCATTGCATACACGTACATGTACATGTAAATAACAGCCCACATAACATGTGGTTACATTGCAATTGTGGACAGGTGATTTTTATCTAAGTTTATCAATTATTCACATGCCATCCCTCAGCTATTTTATGAACTTTATGACAAGGCAAGCTTCACCATTCTTTCATGTTGTATGCTTACACAAAATATAAGAGAGTGATCCAAGAAAGTTAAAATAAAATCATACTGAATAACTAGAAAATATCCCGTCCCTCCTCAAAAAATGGATTCTCCATTACATTAAAGTAGAAAGCTCTCTCCATTAAAGCCATCTTTCATTTAGTCCTAGGTTGCCAGCGGGCCTATTACCATAGCAGCAGCGTAATATTTGCAGTGCAAACAATATTACAGGTTGACAGGAGGGTATTAACACTAACAATGATCCCATATTAGGCAAGGATTCAAGCAACAGGAACATTGAATGTTGATAGTAATTGGTAATAGGGGTTGACAGTTGGATTCTGAATTTGTCGGAGCAAGTTTGAGCAATTTTTATTTGAATAAATGTAAAGTGGAGAATAAAGAACATAATTTATTTTAAAAAGTCTTTAGAAGAAATTGACTGCAAAATTAAACTCATTTTGAGCAATTTCCATGAATTTTAATCTCTCATTTTTTTTGTCCTGGGAACATATTATGCATTCTCCTAGGCTGATTATTATTGGGAATTGTAAATTGAATTCAAGTATCACATAAATTTAAGTAACTTTGAGTCAAAGTTTGACTAACCAATAATGGTTTTATTTGGCTATGTAAAGTCAATTGAGCAACCTTCTGTATGGAATAGAAAATAGTTAGTGGCTAACAACATTTCTTGCTTGTTTCCAGGGATGTGTCAGAATCATGGCACTGGGAGTTAAAACAGCTCAGGGGATCTTTTTCTTTTGGAAGGAAACAAGTTGCTAATCAACTTGGATACTACCAATTTAATATGCGTACACGTTATTTGTATTAATGGTCTTGCCTACTTACTGTAAAGTTCACGGTTTCCACACTATCACCCGTGTTGACAATATCAAACAGATTCCAAATGAGGGTAGCACTAGCCTGGTTCCCCGCAGTGGCAACCCGTCGACGGCGAGCATTACTGGTAGCATTCTGGATAGTGACAAAGGCTACCGGCGATGAGGCATTGGTGAAACTGGTCACGTTTTGGCTGGCAGGGTTGGAGAAAGTGATGTTGGGACTGTCGGAAGTGGCCAGACAGGACAAGACATCCAGATTGATGAAGGAAATATCTTCAGATACGAAGTCTGGAGGTGAATTAAAAAAAACAGTGTATTGCTGAAAAAAGAAATTGAAGGAATGATTGGCTTATCTTTAAAAGTAGATTATGTTGTCATTACTTTGTTATGAACTTTTCCAAATAAAAAACATATCACTCAAATCATACAAGGAAACTGACTCTGTGTTTATACATGAAAAGATGGACAAAGAAATTGTGTGGTTTGGGATTTGAACCTGGGTGCTCTGGAACACCATACGGGTGCTCTACCATGCTATGGGTACCTGCACATGTACCTGCATTGGTGTTCAGTGATCTAGAGGTCACTGCAGTCGATTTCTTTCTTCATCTTTATAATTACAAATATCTATCAATATGTATGCATTTTTATTCGCTTTCAACTTTAGATTCAGATTTTTTTTAGAATTTTTCCTCACTGAAAGTACACTCAAGTCAATTTACCGACAACTGTGATTTTCTTTTTGTCAGCTTTGTTTTGGACATTCTTTAATATGAGTGAAGCCACAGACTGTGTCTGGAAAACAAAGTCAGAATAAAGTTGGGAAGTCCCATTCATACCTGAGATCACCTGAATCTCTGACATGTTCCAGGATCCTGGAGGAATTTGAAAGGAGGCAGAGGCCTCCATCTCTCGGTCGAAGATGAAAGGTTGGTCCTGGGCAATGGCCAACTTATTGGTGTTAACCTCAGGGCCAGCATAACTCAAAATTCTGGAGGCTGTGAACGTTTCTTCGTAGCTTGGTCCATAGTCAACGCTCAGTGTTACATTTAGCAGATAGCCTATGTTCTGGGAGTTTTGAACGTAAAGTGTGCGGCGAAGGTCTATGACGTTCTCTAGACTAGTGTTTCCAAGTGTTGCATTTATAACTTCGACCTCTCCGAAAGACACATTCAGTTGTGTTCTGGAAGTCTGAATGATTTCCTGGGCATCTTGTAAATTGCTAGCATAGGTGATGGTGAGGTTCTCAGCAGCGACTTGGGCAAACTCATCCGGAATTTCCACAGAGAGTCTCACATGGTCACCAGCACTACCAAATTGCAGGCCCACGCTGATGGTCAAATGGTCAGTGAGGTACAGCGATGGAAAGCTTCCCACCATGGGGTTGGAGGTGGGGGTATTGACTTGCAGAGCAACATCCACAAGTTGGGAGTGACAACCTTGGAGACAGACCAAGTGACAGATGATGATACTAATGAAGATGAAATCTTGAAGAGCCATCTCTAGTAACAAAGCAATCTCTTTGTTTTCACTGCTTCATCTTGCATTTTCCTGCAATATTTACAAAGAAATACATCTAAAACACTCTGCTAAAGCCACACATGCCTATCTGATTATCTGCATATTAAATATTAAAATATGTTATATTAATGCATGCTACCATAAACTGAAATAATTTCTCATACATTTAAAATACTGTTGACAAACCAGGGTAAACATAATCTGAAATACCTGTAAATATACGTTACATTCAAAATCAAAGAACCTCAAATTGTACACTTGAAGACTGCATAGTACAAAGACTGTGCAAGAAAAGTAAACGGTATTATGATATTTGCAGTGATGTTGCCAAAAGCAAAGATAGAGATCTTAAAAAGACATGCTTGAAGTTAAAAAACTAACACTTGCAAAATAATGATGTGATAACATAGAAAAGAACAGCAACAATGATAAATGACCTTTGGAAAGGCAAGGTAAACATCTGGGATAAGATAACACGATTCTTCACTTGACCTACAAGTACATGTACTGATCCTCAGTCAAGAGCACAAATTTTATAGAGAGACTGAATAAAAGATAGACGATTCAAAATAGGGCTAGTATTTTGTTCCGTTGTCTTGCAACGCGTCGAACTCATGGACCCAAACCTTGCCTGTCTGTCCGAGTAGGATAGAGCAATAAGCGAATGAAACAGCTCCCTAATTACGGCATGCAAAATTAATTCACATTTTGCCTTCCGCACTTCAGAAGCTCTGCACGCACAGCACCAACAATACAATTAAGGTATTTTTCCGACTGCAGTATGCAGTCTGGTGTTCAGTCTCAGCAATGTTTTCGTCAATAGTAAAGTAATTTTGGGTCCAGACTACATGTGCAAAGCTCCGCGAGGGTATCCAAGTGACAAGTGTAAACATTCGACGTATTTGTCTCCCACAAACGCAGAATTTTGGTCAAAACATCGATAAAAAGACCCATATTGAGTGAAGAATACTTTTTTCTTGAGCAATTTAATAATTCCAATGCACTCATTTACATAGATATGCACTAGATAAAACGAAAGAATTGATTTGGGCCAGTTGGGGAGGACCCGTGTGTAAAATAATTGATGAAGTGACGTCATCTTGAGGTCGGCTGCATATTTTCGGGCAAGCGAGCGAGCGGCGCGGTCGCAAACTTTGTGAGTTTTGGATATTCGTGTAGTTATTATTTCAGTTTTAATTGAGTTTGTAGGTAGACTTTGTATCGGTATGTGTATAGTTTAGTTTCGTTATGCATTTCGTTTACATAAAGTTAAATGTGAAGTTTTGAGGGCGAAAGATAGGTCAGCTCAAGGTTATCGATGACAAAATGCGCAGACACGAAGGCTCTCTGGCCGGGTATTTGGTCTTGCATCATTACATTGAAAAGTTGGCCTGTATATCTTCTTTTTGTCGTGAAGTATGCATAAATTCATTGGCTAAAGTTGACACCAATAACAAAAATTGACTGAAAACCTGTGCAGAGATAATTGCAAATTCACTGTGATAGGCCTACATCATGTAATATCATTGGCCATTATTCAGTAGGCCTTATTGCTGATACCGCCAGAGTGATGTTGCACAAAGGTGGAAAGGCAAAGTGGGATGGAAAAAGGAGCAAACATTGCCCCCTGTCCTCCCGCAATGCCTTGGTACCAGTGATGTAGTCGAGTACTTTTTGAGAACCAAGTTCTCTACCAAATATTTAACTAGTTAGGAGGGAACAAAGCTGAAGTACATTGGCATTTGATGACACATGCATAAAGGTAAGATTACAAAGCAACATAATGACTTCGGACCATCACTGTTTGATTAAAATTAACTTTTTAGGACAAAAGTGTTCAGAAAGTACTCGGCCGAGTATTTTCCGAGTACTTTTCTCCTTAAAATGTAAATTTTACACAACTGGGAGTGTCTGAAGACTAACATTTATTTTGTAATCTTACCTCTGCACATTTACCATCAAATGCCTGTGCACTCTGGCTTTATTCCCTCTTACCCAGTTCAGTATTTTGCGGAGAACGTTGGTGCTCGGAAAGTACTCGACTACAACACTGCTTGGTACCATTGTTCAAAATCGCTCATGCTGTATCAGCAAAGAGGCTCATTGCACCTAGGTGTCTATTGTTGAATCATGCTAGATACTGACCATGTTGAATATATTTTATATTTCAGAAGTTTGAGGATGTCATGCGTGGATGTTCAAGTCATCTTTCCGGGCAGTTTTTGGACTGTGAATCCAGTGGAAGTAACCCTTGCTATCATATTTGGTCTCCTAGTTGGAGTTGTCATTGCGATTGTGGTGGCGCGATGCTTCTTCCAAGAGCTTGCCAAGGACAGGGTAAGCCTCCTCCATCCACCCATTCATCCAACTACCATGGCTACGTATGCCCTTAAAGAACCTGAAACCTAAATTTCACTTGTGACACTGTTGTTCACTTTTAGCCAACAGCCCAAACCTCATAGAAAAGATAGAGAAAATTCTAATTCGTATGATTTCTAATTTGATACAGATTTTGGAGATAATTTTTCACTCTGTTTTCAGATCCAACAGGCAGAAAAGAAAGACTGGACCAACAGTGGAATGTACGAAAAGCGAATTTCATATGCTGAGGAGGTAAAGTATTTTTGAACTTGTTTAAAGATGTTTGATTTTTTACATATATCTGTGAGTGCTTTTTTCAAGTTTTACAAGCTAAAGTTTCTGCTGTTTCCTTTCTGTCAACGCTAATTTCGTCCCTTTCCAAAGGTTCCACTGACTGAGGTATATCACGAAGATGAATCGCCGTCATCCAGTGGGAAGAATCGGAGATCCAGCAGTCTCAGCGCCAAAGACTTCCGCAGTCAGGCTACCATCGACAGCTATGATGAGGAAAGAGCAGAAGAGGAAGATGCCTACTGCTGCCTGATCACAGCTCTCACCAAGACCTCAATGTGAGTTAGAGGGTCGATTTAATTCCAAAGATTGTAGGAAAGTCTGATGAGATGTACTTCAGTTCTCAAAGGGCCTTAAAGTGTCCTTGATTTTCATATCATTTTTATAGCATATTGTACTTTTTTCTGCTGTGTTTTCTTGGTATTTCAGGGTGAAGACACAAACAGAGCTGAGCTTACAAGACTACAGGGAGACACAGAAACTTGAAGAGGAACTGCATCAGGAGAAAACATCGGTGAGAACAATCATGTCCTTAGAAACTTGAAAATCCTTTTTGGAAAAATTAAATGCCCAAAACAGGGTGACATTTATTATGAAATTGGAAATTAGCATTTCTGTAGATGCTATTGTTTGGTACGTGATAAATTTATGTTTATTAAACGGACCAGTTTGTGGGTGTTTCCTTCCGTGAAGGTGTTCCTGCAACTTCTTCGGATCATTCTGAGCAAGTTTGTTGCCAAGGAGCGACTTGACGAAGAGTATACTGAAAGATTTCTCGACAAATACTCAGAGGTAGGTTTGGCTCTCTTCTGCATTGTTGTCTGTAGTGTTATTCACTGACATCTTTTCTCAAGTCTCGGTAACTTTTTGGCTTTATTTCCAATTGTCCCATTGTCTTAGATGGTGGAGTCAGCTGTTCAGGCCGTTGCGTCAGAGCAGGCAGCAGCTGAGGATGAAATCCGACAGAAACTGGGTGTGTCCAAAGACCCTCTGGCTCTAGAGGAAGCCCTGGAGAAGACTAGACCTGAGAGCACTCGCAAGATGGTGAGAGAAATGTGGGTTAGGATGGGGGCGGGGGAAGAGGTGGGGAATATGGCAAGGGATAGGCTTGAGCATGACCCTGAAAATATGAACCCGAACCTCCTAATTTATCCAACAAAAAGAGCGATGCATGTTGCTTTATTCTCTATTATATAAACAAAGATCAAACAAGTGACAAAATCTCTTAGACTTGGCATCCAAATAGGAAACCAAAAGGGTCATTTTTCTTGTTGCCCAAGCTATTTCAGTGCTGATGTTGTTTGCCTTCCTACAGGTTCGAGCTCTCCAAGATGCCCAATTGAAGATACAGGATGACTTGGCTAAGGAGACCGATCTGAGTGACGAGGAGGTAAAAACTGACTTGAGTTACCTCTTCATTGGGTCTGTCCAACCAAGGATCATTGGTTAACCAGTGGCTGTATGTTACACCCTGGACCTCTACTGAACTATCATCAAATGTCTTCAGAAAAACCTGTTGGCCCTGGCTTCCCAGCTGTGCATTGTAATATACAAGGCCGTCTCAGGCTTCAACTGTTTTTTAACTAGCTGACGTTGAAGCTGTAAGTGCAGTCATTAGTTGAATGGTGCCACAAAACATCAAATAAGATGCAAGAGAGCCAGAAATTACAGTAATCTAATGTAATTTAAACGCTTCAGGCCCACAATCGGGGATTGGTTTTGGTAACGAAACCTGAGACGGAGCCCAAGTCGAGTATTGGAAAAGGGCCCAAGTCAGCTCTGTCCTTGGATGGAGCTTGATTTTCTAGTTGCATTGGAAACAACACTTGTGTTAGTTGTGAAATGACAAGATTCTTTAATTTGTTGTTTTCTCTTTGAATCAGATTGACGCCTTGGTTGAGAAACTAACAGAGAATATGGCAGAGGTGGAGAGAATGATTGGGGAAGAGGCAGCAAGACAAGCTAATGTTAGTGTCCATCTCACAAGTATTACCCGTTACATCTTTTTTTGGATAAATTAGGTATTTCAATGTTGGTTTCCTGCAGTATAGGAAATACATTTTTTAGATGAAATAAAAATTGTGGAAATATATTTGTGTGTAGATCTTGCAAGAGCGATTGGAGCGGCGCCGAGCTCTGGCCCAGCAGTACTCGGAGATAAAGACCAGGGAGGAGACAGGGAACCAGACACGGTTGACAGACGTGCGCAACATCTTGGAGGGATTGGTTGATGATAAACAGTTGCTACAAGAGCAGTGTGAAAGGTAATCATGGCAATACCCAAAACATGAAGCAAGCCAAATCTAAGGAAGTGATGAAAGAAATTCATTGTCAGGGGCCTGCATCAGGCACAATGTTGGAAATTAAGGCATATGTTATTTGTCATTTGATGGTGGCGTTTTTCTTTTGCAGCATAGTGAAGCAGTATGAGGCAGACTTGGCCCAGATACAGGAAAATCATCAAGCAGGTATGTTTACTTCTGTCTTGTTTACAAAGTACTGCCATGTTTAAGAGAAACTGAAATATTGGAAATCAGCTGAACTGCTGTCTTTTAGCAGTTGCTTGGAAATGACTGTTTTGCCAGATAATGCCTCTACAAAATGTGTTCTCTGAAAACAGTGATGGTTTTATTTCTTTTATTTATTTGTTTTTTATTTTATCTCATTTGCAGAGGTGATGAGCCAGAGTCTTCAGCTAAGTGAAAAGTTGCGCAAGTTCCGAGAGAAGAAACTGAGGAAGCTGGAGAAACAGCAAGAGGAGGAGATGGAGGAACTAACGAGGGCTGCCTCCAAAGCTGTCAACATCTCTGACTTTGTTCAGGTTAGATTGAAAAGGCTGTTGGTTGAAGCTGGTGTGGTTTACAGAGAGCTGTGGTCATGTCACTGTCTTATTCATCTTTGATCCTCATCGCTTTGTTTCTCTCTCTCTGTTCTCTAGGCTCATCATAATCTCCTGGAGCAGCATCGAGACAAAAGCAACAGCCTGATGGATGAATTGGATCACCGGGAGGCAGAGGATGTACAGACCCTCAGACAGGTAAGGACCAACCAACAGATCCTGGGTCATTTCTGGGATTCAGCTTAAGCACGGCAACATGGAAGAAGGTAGATTAACATATTAATGGCTTTGCTTATTCTTCTGTCGCCATAGCAACTGGAGCAAAATCGGGAGGAATCTATCGCCAAGCAAGAGGAGTCCCTCTTTGAGATTCTGGCTGAGCGAGCGAGGCTGTCTGAGAAAGAGGCAGCCAAGATTATGAGACATCACACAGCTAACGTCAAGGCAGCTGAAGGTGAACATAGTGAACAAGTTTGCAGCAGGCAAAAAATCCTGTTGGAGACATGAAAATAAGACGACAGCTTTTCATTTTGTGAGGGTTTCCGAGGAAATTGAAAATATTTCACAAATGTGGTTTTAATTCCAAACCAGAAAAGCAAGAGGAGCTGAAGAAGCAACAGCAGGCGGAGATTCAGGAACGCTTAGCCCAGCGCAAGGCATTATGGGAAGAGGAACAACAGCGACTTGAGGCCGAGCAGCGACAGCTAGCTGAACAGCAAGCCAAGACGGTCAGCCGGCTTCTGGACACACAAAGTGGGCTGGATGAAGAGTAAGCCTGAACTTAATCTTGGGAATGAGGTCTAGGTCTGAGGCGATTGCAAAAACCTTAGTAGATACTGACAAGAGATGTAGCTTCAACTCGGAAAGCCTGTTTCCAGCACAGCCCAAGTCTTGAAGTTTGTCATGGCCCAGTACCTCGGGCAACATGTGCTAAGCAGGAATGATATCTGCTTAGCAAAAACAAGTACTGGCCAAAGTGTCATGTGTTGCATAAAGCTTGTGATTGGTATTCCACTGATTTTGGCTTAGCCAATCACTTTTGAGTGATTACATTTGAGTGTGTCTCGGTTTTTGTGTTTATTAGGGCTCGTCGACAAATAATGTTGCAGCATGAGCAAAACACACTAGCAGTCAATAACCAACTTCAGATGGCCAAGATGAAACAACAAAAACTGTAAGTATAAAGTTGAAATAGAAACCTTCAGTATTTGTAGATTTAAACTGAAGTTGTGCTCATCTTGAACACTTCTAGATTGAGAGCTTCTGAACTAGAGGAAAATGTTGAGTTTTGGGATGCATTTCCAATATGCTGTTGCCCGGGGAATGTCTGTTTTTTGTTGGTCAGTGATTTTGTTCTTTTCTTGCATTTGATACATAGACTGGAGGCGAGGTTGGCTCAACGACGAGCTCGGATGGAACTCTTAAAGGAGAGACAAGAGGAGGAGCTTGAGGCAGCCAAGTCTGACAGACACGTCGCTGAACTCAAGGAGCAACATGTCAGTATTGTTGGTCTTTAATAAGTTCAGTTTCTTGACTAGAAAACCATGCTTTGTAAGGTTCAGAAGATTCATGAAATTTTTTCTCAATTTGTTGAGGGTAGAGGTATAGGCCTCTTAGAGAAAAAAAATTGTCCACTTTGTTTTTTCTGCTCTTGCAGGCTCAAGAGGTCGCAGCTGAGATGAAAGCCATCGAGCAAGCCAAGGCCGAGCTGCGATCCCGGCTGGCTCTTGAGACCAAGGAAGCCCTGAAGGCCCAGGACGAGCAGCTGGGAATCCTGATCGGCAAGCTGCAAGTCGGACAGGCCAGACGACAGGGCATCATCAAGAAGCAAGACAAAGCTATTAAAGAGCTACAGGTAGGGAGGCTATTTGCTGTGCGCCTGGATGGAAGAGGCCGCTGTTTTGGCCTGAAAATGACAAGCAGTGTAGACTTCTTATTTACTAGGAGATAGACAGAAAATTCACAGAATGGAAATTTGAACTTAAATCATTCATGCCAAACATAATGGTAGAAAAACCTTTCAGGTTATGAACCATAGATATTTAGGATTTAAGAAGCTGTTTTGGTAATCAACAAATTCTATCCAGAGAGGTTTCAGTCAAGAGTCGCATATCGAAGGTAACTTTTGTTTTGTCTGCCCAGGAGCAAATGGTGGACACGGTGTCGGTGAACCAGGCCGTCTCAGAGCACCAGACTGACCGCATCATCAAGAGGCACATGCGAGAGATTGAGGAGGTAGAAGAGAAGATGCGAGAGGCAAGGGCACATCAGGCCAAGGTGCTACAGGACAAGTACGAGGCCAAAAAGTTACTGAAAGAAAAGTGAGTTGGCATCTGATGACGGTCTTCTGAAAAGCAAGGAGTCAGTTAGCCTTTAAATCAAGCATCAGACCATTTAATTTACTGTGGGAAACGTGTTTATATATTGGCTAAAATAAATACTATAGGACATGTAATTTGTTTTCAATTGTTAAATTGTGTTTGTGTATATACAATAGGACTATTGTCTCACAGCTTGAAGAAGAGAGGAAAGAGATTACCAGAAAACAATCAGGGTAAGGACTACAAAGATACATGATATTATGTTTGGAATTTCAAGTATGACACAAACAATTTCATTGTCGACATCAACTGAAGTGAGCTTTGAACCTGCAATCCTTGTACTGGCACCCTGCCAGCACCCCTTTTGGCAGGGTACCAGTATGGTATTGCAGAGGTTCATGTCCCACTTCAGTTGTTATCTGTTTTGCCAA